TATTTGTTAGTTTTTCTATTTATAAATAAAATATTTTATATTTATTATAATTTATGTCATATATTGATGGTTACAAATTTATTTTACTATTTATTTATTTTGTTTATGTTTATGAGGCATATATTGATTTATTTATTTTGTATTGATTTATTTGATTATTTATTTTATGTTAATATTATATATGATAATATCAATCTAATAGAAAGCTCTAGAAGAGCGACTATATTATTATCTAAAGAGATAGATTTTGAAGGCTCTAGAAGAGCGATTATATCATGACTTGAAGAGATAAATTTTTGAAGCTCTAGAAGAGTGAATAAATTATTACTTGAAGAGAAAATTTTTAAAGGCTCTAGAAGAGTCGATATATTATTACTTGAAGTGACTAATTTAAAGGCTCTAGAAGAGCAAATATGTTATTATCCGAAAGGATAAATTTATTATGAATGATGTACTATTCTCTTCAAAGTCTCATGGATATTTGTTGAGTTTCAAAGATATTTATCTAAATTGATATCATATCAAGATAGCAAATACGAATTCTTATATGTTATAATCATTATATCAAATAGAAAATATCTATCAAAAAAAATTTATCCGTTTTCTCTTGTAGTTTTTGTTACAAACATTGAAATGATTGAAACAAATATTATAGTAAATCGAAGTTTACTAATTCAAATACTTTTACTATATGACATGACCAGTTGTGTTATCTTGGGTCTTTCATGATGCGAAAAAATTATTAAAAAATTATATGAATATCTATTGAAGAGCTAGAAGATTCTTCAATTTAATGAACTTTCATGTTCTGCATATTGCCAAGACAAATTGATGATTAAGCCATCATCAAGTAAAATTGAGATTGAATCTCCAGTATTTTAGAATATATTCAAGGTGATATATGTGGATCAATTCATCCACCATGTGGATAATTTAAATATTTTATGATGTTGATAAATACATCCACAAGATGGTCACATATATACTTATTATCTACTCAAAACCCGACATTTTCGAGATTGCTAACAAATAATTTGATTGCGAGCATAATTTTCAAATTATGCCATTAAACAAGTTATCTTGATAATGCCGATGAATTTATTTCTCAAGCATTAAATTATTATTGATTGGCTATTAAAATAAAGGTTGAACATCTTGTTGCTCATGTTCATACTAAAAAGGTTTAGCAAAATTATTTATCAAAAGGTTTAGCAAAATCATTTATCAAAAGGCTCGAATTAATAGCTAAATCGTTATTTAAAAATAAAACTCTCTGTTTATGTTTGAGGACATGCAATCTTATATGCAGCAATACTTATTCGCATATGACCCATAAGTTATTAGAAATTATCTCCTCTTTAATTGATTTATGGTCATAAGCCAATTATTTCTTATTTAAGAATTTTTGGCATTGCAGTGTATATCCTTAGTGCTCCTCTATAATGAAATAAAATGAGCACTTAAAAGAGATTGAGAATATATGAATCCTCTTCGATAATTCAATCTCTTGATTCATGAACAAGAGGAAATTTTTACAGCTCGATTTATCGATTGTCATTTTGATGAAATAGTTTTTTCAACATTAGGGGAGAGAATAAGCAAAATAAGCGAGTTGAAAATGTTGAAAAAAAAAGATTACATGGAGTACTCTATCTTATATCACCTTGATTCTTGTAGAAAATAACGTGAACTAGAAATTCAAAAGATAATTCATTTACAAAATATTGAAACCAACTCGCTAGATGCATTCTCAAAACTTAAATGAGTAACTAAAATGCATGTCTCTATTGAGAATGCTCCTATTATAATTAATGTCCCGGAAGGATAATCTATTAATATTATAGCTAACGAATCTAAAGCACGCCCGAAGCGTGGTAGACCGATTGGTTCTAAAGATAAAATTCCTAAAAGAAAGGGCAAGATAATAATATAAAGAATGTAAATATTCATAAAACGGTTCAAGATATTTCGATAATAGGTTTCCGAAGAAGTCCAAATACTTGAGAAAAATCAAGAAATTTTGATAAATTATATTAATGCAAGGAGAAAATAGGACCGAAAGAAACATCTATTGATAAGACTTTTGCATATAATATTGCAATTGATATTATGGATGAAAATAAGAATCCCGAGCCTAAATTATTGAAGAATATCGACATAAAAATGATCGGCGTAAATGAAAAGAGCAATCTAGGCAGAATTATGTTCTCTTATAAAAGAGTAGTTTTTTAAACCCATAGCTAAAACATTTGAAGATGTTAAGCTAATGGGATACAAATATGTATTTATGGGAAAATGAAATAAGAAAGATGAGATTATAAGATATAAAGCAAAACTTTTAGCACAAAAGTTTTCTTAAAGAATTGACATTGACTATGAGCGAGACATATTCTCCTATAATGGATGCAATTGTCTTTTGTTATCTCATTAGCTTGAAAAAATATATAAAAAACATTCATATGCATGCATTTAATGAATGTGATCACGGTTTATTTGTTCATTTGAAATAAAATAAGTATGAAAGTCCTAGAAGGACTTGACATGCCGAAGCATGTAATACATATTCTCGAGAAAAGAATTCAATTAAATGATGGAGATCTCTATTAGTATTATTTTAGTATTTGTTTTATTATTTTGCTTTTTAGAAATTCAATTTATACTTTTTATATTTCATTTTTATATCTACTATTTATTACTAACCCGTGTGCATGTGATATAATCACTTCAATGATTATTTATTGAAAGAAAATTATAAAAATAACCTTATTTGTTTATATGTTTTTATTTGAAAAAGGGTTTGTTGTATATGTTGATAACTTAAATATTATCGGAACTCTCGAAGAGATTTCAAGTGTCATAAGTTACCTAAAAAGAGAATTTGATGTGAATATCTTGGGAAAACAAAATGTTATCTCGACTGCAGGTTCGAGCACTCGAGAGAATGAGATTTTCATTCATCGATCAATTTATATAGAAAAAGGTTCTACAATGATTCTATATAAAGATCATTCATTGACTAGCCCAATGATAGTTCATTCACTTGATATCTAAAAAGACCCTTTTTGACCTCGAGAAGATAACGAAGAACTACTTGGTCTCGAAGTACCATGTCTTAGTGCCATCGATGCATTGATATATCTTGCTAATAATACTCGACTTAGTATAGTCTTTTCTATAAATTTGTTAGCAAGTCATAGTTCTTTTTCAATATAGAGACATCGAAATAAAGTTAAATATATACTATGTTATCTTCGAGGAATAATTGATATGGGTTGATATTACTCTAATAAATGAAAGACAAGATTAATTATGCGGATGCGGGTTATTTAACCGATCCATACAAAGCTCGATCTCAAGCTGGTTATGTATTTACATATGGAGATACGACTATATCATGGCGTTCTATGAAGCAAACTATAACTGCCACATCTTCAAATCATGCGAAATATCAATTCATGAGGCAAGTCTAGAATATGTTTGGCTAAAATCAACGATCCATCATATCCGAGAGATATACGGTTTATCTATCAGCAAAAGAAGTTCCAACAATATCATATTGGATAATGCTTGTTTGCATAGTTTCATTGAAGGAAGAATACATCATAGTGACAATCCAACGATTTGTTCACTAATGTGTTACCTACCATAACTTTTGCGAAGATAATTCACAAGATTGAAATGCATCATCTTAGAAATCTTAAATAATGTCTTCAACGGGGGAGACAAAAATGAGAATTAATGTGTGCAAGGAATATTGTACTCTTTTTTCTTCACTATGATTTTTTTCCCACTCGGGTTTTTTCCTAGTAAGGTTTTAATGAGGCATATTCCTTGTGAAATGGACATTCAAAGGGGAGTGTTATAAAATAATGAATGTCCATCTACTTTTTATATCCCACTACTCATGATCCTTAATGTGATTTAATTCACCATTCAATATAAGAAATTGAAAGGGTGATGCAATTGATGTACTTTTAATTATTCATAGTCCCTTCCAATTCTCATCTCAATTTTGAGGCCTATAAATAGGCTTGATTGTTCATTTGTTGGTGTACAAGTTTCCTAGAGAGAATAAGAGAAACTTTGAAGTTCTTATAACTCATATTCACATTATAGTGATTTCATTTTCTTGTCATCCTTCTCTTCAATTCTCCTATCATTTCTATTTATTTTATAACACTAAAATTATTTTTTGAATAAAATAATTGAAATAATGTTTTAGAAGAACTACCTAATAATTCAAATACATCTTTTTACACTAATATTTTTTTATTGTTTTATAAATAAATATATAAAAATTAAATGCACATATTTTCAAAGAACTAAAAAAAATTCATTAGTTAATTTTTATACAATTTTTTATATTGATTGTTGCTTTATTTTTTTTGATGCAATCTTATTAAAATATATATATATTAAGGCATTTTTTTTAAAAAAATCATGCTTACATTATTATAGGTTTTTATTAGGTATTTAATTTAAAATAAAATATATGCTATCAAACTGAAAAATAAAATTTTGATTAAGAATTACGAAAATATTAATTGTAAATTTGTTTTTCAAACTCATCTGTGTGTATTTTTTTTTAATAATCAAGACTTTGACTTTGTTCTACTATCGATTTCAATTGTAAAAATCATGCATCAACAAAAAAAATCACGAACATTTTTATTATGAAAGTAAACAAAACAATATAATAATGCTACTGTCATCTCATGTACAATATCAACACTTATGAAGAATCGAGCTTAATTTATTAGATATTTCTTAGCACATTCAGATGTCTATACCCATTCTACGGTAGAATGCAGGTGACTATCTAGTGTTATCTACAATGGTAGGGAGACAAGAGAAACTCATTAATTGGTCATGCTTGATTAGCTATGAAGAAAGATTGCATGCTTGATCGAAGACTGCAAACTAGGTTTGGTATTGACTAAAGTGGTTGCTTCAAGACCTTCCTATTTAAAATCTTTCTACGAACTTTTGATTGCTTCAAGAGCAATTTGCCGGGGGATGCAAAGATTAAGCAACCATCATCTCCTGTAGGTCCACTGAAAACAAAAAGCTAAGCTTCGTCCTGATTGCTGTCCGTTGTTATTTCTTTCACATTGTTTTATCTCATTGGATTCTCTTTCAATCATTTCAAGTCTAGCTACAATTCAGTGAATTTTGTTTGCTTTTTCACGAAGGGTTAATAATGTGGAAGAGCAACTTGAGTATTAAAATAAGTAATTATGCATACGATTAATGTCAAAATTGTGATAATTAATTTTGATATTAATATTGGTTATAACCGAAATCAAAATATAGAATGTCAAGTGAAATATAATAGCAAATTATAGATGGAGTATTATAGTTTCCGAAACATATGGAATTAAAGTGTTCATAACATTTAGATCACAGGATGCTTAGAGTAATTGATCATAATAAAGTTTTATGATCTTATAAAAAAAAAAAACAACAACTATATATAGAGTCCTTATAGTAATTTATAATAAAATTTAATAAGCTTATCCAAATAATAAAAAAATCATTCATCTTAGGTTTAAATACTTCAATTTTATTTATTTATTTTTGTAACATCAAACCATCAAAGAATGTGGTATACCGGTAAGAAAATTGTTTTTATTTAACCAAAATCAAGATTCAACTTTTGTTATCTATGAATAACTAACTATAATTATTCTTTAATCATAATTATTTTTTAATGATATTAAATTTATTTATAGATAATTAGTCATAATTATTATTTAGTACTCAGATGAATATATATAGCACAGAGGATTGGGAATCTCTTAATCTTGAGTATCACGACATCTTTGTACCATATTGCATCACCTAATTCTATAGATTTTGTTACCTAACCTAATTATATGCATACGACAATAATAGGAGACACTAAGTTGATTTGCTACCTAATTCTATACATGGGACAATAATACGAGACGCTTCGCTAAGTTGATTGTTCATGACAGAATTGACCTTCTTTAGTCTTCACTTGACAGAATTTTCTTTCCTACGTTATTGGAATTAATTAGGTAAAACATCAAAAAGCTCATATTGTATTAGGTAAAACATCAAAAAGACCAAGTTGGATCGACATTTGACTATCTTCATTTATACGGCCAAGATTTAGCCAACAGAAATCTCTTAGCAAGAGCTAAGCTTCGACTGTATTACGTTGGTCTCCAACTTCACATACAATTATACACACTTAATTGCGTTAGAAGGCACATTAAGAGCAAGATGCCAAATCTGCGCCAAGTAATTAAGGCTCATATGAACCGCAATTATCATGGAACGGGAAAACAAAAAAATTGAAACCAAAAATAATTCACTAATGTAAGTAGTTATTATCAATTTCATCCCAAACTTATTTCGTTTCTCAATTTTGTTCCAAATGTATGATATATGCAAATTTCTCAATGTCATTCATTTTCCATTATTCACACGTATGTATGCTATATAATATTGAAAAAGAAAGGCTATATAAGATGATTTCATTGTCCTAAGATTAAAAGCCACTCTTCTCCTCGACTCTTTTGAAGATTCTTGTTTCTTGAATCAGAACTAGAAGAACTCTTGGTAACCCATTTGTTGTAAAAAAAGATCTAGTTCTTTTAAAGCCCTATGTGGATTTCTTAAAGCAACAATAAAACTGATTGAAAGACGTTTTTTGGCTTCTTAACCTAACTAGGATTCTTGTTGAAAAGTGGAAGTAACCCACTAAAAACTCTTTTAATCTCTTTGTTTGCAAAATCCTTTTGTTATCAACACTAAAACACAATCTTGCATCATTATTCGCACTATAATCTATTAAAATTTCTCTATGTTTGCCTCCAAAATTTGCTTACCTAATGCAGCTAACCCGTCTGACGAAGTACCGAAGAGAAATATGATGTCTTTTGTTACTTTGATTGAAGTTTATAGTTATATTTTAGATTTTACTAGATGTTTTGCTCGCGCTACTGACTGTGGGTAAGATAAAATATATAAAATTATTTAGAAAAATTATTTTAATTTGATAGTCTATTTTATGGTATAAATGTATAAAAATATATGAAATCAAAGGTGAAAAAAATATTTAAACTTTTTTAATGTAATTTGAAATTCAATGGATGAGAATTTTTTTAAAATGACAAATTAAAGTAGTAAATTTTAAATAATAAAAATAATCAATAAAAAATACGAAAAAAAAGATCAAATCACAATACAATTAAATTTTGAAATTAAAAAAATATATATATTGTATAAAAAAATTGAGGACTATATAATTTTAAATTAATTGGATGAGAAAAGAATGAATAATATTAAAATAAATGAAAACTATCATTAAATGTAATTTTAAATTAATTAGATGAGAATTTGAAAAAAATGACAAATTACGAGTTATAGATTTTAAATAATAAAAATAATTAAAAAAATTAAAACAAATGAACTAAATCACAATACAATTAAAGTTTAAATTTTTTTTTAAAATTGTATATATATATATATATATATATTTAAAGAAAAAAAGAAACACACACATACACACATAGTTTATTATATAAATTATAATAATATATTTTAAAAAATAAAACACTAACGTTATAAAATTTTAATTCAAAATTCATATATTAAAAAACTAAATTTATTAAAAAATAAAATCATATAAAAAATTAATTTGATGTGAATTTTAATAAGAAATAAATAATTGAAAAAATAACTTTAAATAATAAAATTAATATAATTAGATATATATATATATATATATATATATATAGTGGGGAGAGAAGCGCCTGGTTGAAAGCCAACCGGGAGCCACATAATATTTTTTTTTAAAAAAAGAAGAAGTCAAAAGCGAGTGAGGCCGGGCGTTGGCTCAGTACGAGCGAGCTAGCCCGCTTGGGCTCGCCATTGTAGGCCCTTGCGTTAGGCCTTGACTGAAAAAAAATCCTGCAACTTTCGACGAACCCGAGGTTGTCGAAGTTCGTCGAAAAAGCGAGGGTCAACTTTCAAACCCCTAGAAATTAAATCTCGACATCATTTTTTTCCCCAAACACCTTTAAATGACCGGCATAAAATCAATAAACACATCTAAAACCTTAAAAATCATTTTAATACACATGAAACAAAGAAAAACACAAAATCAAATTGGATTTTTTTTTCTTTTTTGGCTTCGATCTACCTCCTCTAATTGGTTAATGGCTTGAAACCACCATGAATAAACGCATCTCGCAAAGATAAAAAAATCTAGTGGATTTTCATCGACCGAGTGGCCTAAATGAGCTTAATCGACGATCGCTCTCTCTCTTCCTCTCGACCTTCTCTCTCCATTCGGGGACCAAAATGGATGAGCAAATGAATATGTAGATCGAAATATGAGTTCGTAAATATCAAGGACCAAAGTGTAAAAAAAATTATAAATAGTTAAAGTAATAGTGAATTGTGAGAGGGTGAATAGTGAATTATGAGTGTATGCACGAGCGTTTCAAATAGTATAGCTGGACGTTTTACTTTAGTTTATTAGTTAATGAGGCCCTCGGGTTGTTTTCTAGGTTACATAGAGAAGGCCATGAGCTTAACCTTTTTGTTTTTAGTATTGTTTCAAAGTTGCTTGTTCATGTTAAGTGGGTTGAATTGGGATTTAGTTTCTATGCTTGTGTTTAGGGGTGATCATTCGGTAAACGGTTCGGTTTTGTACTATTCGATTCAATTTTCGGTTAACCGAATTAAGAAAAATAAAAACCAAAACCGAATCGAAATAAATTCGATAAATTCGGTTTGTAACCGAATTATTTTGGTTTTAATCGAAATATTTTGCTGTAAAAAAAATCATTACGAGAGAGATGTTTTGTACTAGCACTTAGTCCATTAGCCAATGAAGTAACATCTTGTTATCAATTAATCCTTTTTATAGACAATCACAAAGCCCTTGAAGATTTTAACTAGGCTTTAATGAAAATCGATCAAAGTGTAATTGATTTTGTCATTCAAACACACCGTATCCCAATTAATTACATTCTATTACTTTCTTTTCTTACTCCAACGGTCCTCAAAATTTACTTCTCATCTACGTGTTTCGGTTTCAGCAAGAATGAAGATTGAAAAGTTAGGAATTTAGAAATTAGGAAATTTTTTACTATTTATTTTGGTTTTCGATCGAAATCGAAATCTTTTTTCAAAAAACCGAACCGAACTGAAATAATTTTGATTTTTTCAGTTTAGTTTTATATTGTATAATTTTACATTTAAAATTGAATCAAATTTCATAATTTGATTAGGTTTTATTCGATTTTTGGTTAATCGAACCGTTTGCTCACCCCTATTTGTGTTTGTAAGCTTGGTTTTGAGTCTAATGCCTTTGGGGTTACTATTTTAATGGATTATCACTATTTTTGTAGGTAGATTGAATGCACAAGCAATTTTTTGACGTGATTGAATACAAAGATATTGTTTCTTGAACTAGGATGGTTGCTTGTTATACGAAGAATAAGTGTTTTGAAGAGTATTTGAAGCCTTTTGGAGATTACATTCTTTGGGTTTAAACCAAATAATTTTTTTCTTTTCATTTAATTTTTAACTAAAAATTTTTATTTTTTTTTCATATGTTTCTCATGTGGCAATTTAATTTGACATGGCATTACACTTTTCATTTTTTTTTTCATATGTCATGTTTGCTAAAAAAAAATTGGCTTGAAAATTATCGAAGGGACCACAATAAGAAAATTTAGATAACATAAAGATGTGATAAAAAAAATTACGAGTAGAGGGATCACATTAAAAAAATGTCAAGAAAAGACGTTTCATGTGATTAATCCATTAGTAATTTGAGGGTTAACATCACTATAAAATTGATTGACTACTTTGATATGTCTTTATAATAAGATATTTTTTAAGATCAAACACTCCTGTGTGATGGGGGTTTTCTAAGAACCGATCAAACGATCGGTCGATAGAGTAATCAAGATACAAAGAGCTAGTACTCGTGATTTGTAGGGGTGTTCGTTCAATAATTTGGTTCGGTTTCGAACTTTTTTGATCGATTTTCGGTTAATCGAATTGTCTAAAAAAATAACCAAAACTGAATCGAATTGTTATTCGATTTTTTGATTCGGTTTTGAAATATATCGGTTTTTTATTCGATAATTCGATTTTCACTCGTAATTATCTATACTTTTGATTTTTGAAAGGATCATGCACTTTTGAAAAAATAAATTTAGTATTTGCATTGCTATTTTTAGGCTATGTTCCTATATGTATACATTTTTCAATCTCATTGAACTCTGTCTATTTACTATTATTTTACTACTCCTCAATAGGCATTACTAATATAATATCAATTGATATATATATATATATAATACGAGATTTCATCATTACTATATAAAGTCTAATAATATATAATATATGTTATTGTTTATCGGTATCGATAGATAATACCGTCAAATATGTGTTACAATTAAGACATTTTAACAATTCCTTCTAAAAGAAACGAGCATGCTTTGATGCTCAAATATAACCGACTTAATTATCTTTATGAAAAACACTTTTAATTAACTTGACGTAATTAGAACCAATAATTTTGGGTAACTTGTTAAACACTACAGCCATAAGCTAACCTTTGCTAATTAAATGACAATGTTGTTTTTGAATAATGAAGAACATTAAAACTTTAAACAATCAACTTTCTTTAGCGTAATTTTAAATTATATGTGTTTATAAAAAAAGACATACTAATTATTATCGGGGTCCATAAATTAACTATTTTTCTTTCACATAAAAAAAAAACACTATCTCACATCTTTTTTTTTAAAACTATAAATTGAATCAAGAAAGAAATTATGTACCTCCTTGGGCAATTATAAACAAGAATCGGTTATGGTCATTTGGCATTGGGCGAGTTGGCTCATGTAATCAATGCAACAAGAATTGATTATTGATTACGGGCTAACCGATTTAACTCCAATTAGCTTAGGTTTGCATGAGGGTGAGGTGAGGGTGTGAGGATTGGAATGAACGACGTCGTTCATCGATGAATTTTTTTAAAAAAATTTAATAATTTTGGTTATTCAGTTTTAACTCGAATTAAAAAAAAAAAACGAAATCGAAAATCGGCTATATTTTGGTTCGATTTTTTTTTAATTTCTAAAAAAAAACCACACCGAAATTGATATTTCAATACGGTTCGGTTCGATTATTCGATTTTCACCGAATAGTGAACACCCCTAGTGATTTGTATAAATATCGATCAATCAACTATGTAAAATAAATGCATGTAGTGAGAGGTATGGAATGAAACAATGCTAATTAAACGCAAGTTGAATGACGAGATAGGTGGGTGGTCAAAGTTCAATCATATAGAGCTTTAGAGAGTAAATTATGAATTAGTCCCTCTCATTTTGAGAAAAGAATTAATTAGTTCCTCTTGTTTTTTAAAAAAACTAATCATTTAGTTCTTCATGTTTTAACTTCATTAATAACTTAGTCCTTTCATCGGCTTTTTGTTATATTAGTATTTTTTTTCTAAATTATCCCTTGTTCAATGCTTTATTTATCTTCTTCACCCACTCTTTTTCTCTTTCCTTAGCAAAAAATAAAAGAAAAGGGACAATTGAAAACAAAAATCATTAATCCGATGGAAAACTAATGAAAAGACTAAATTATTGATAGACTTAAAACGTGAAGGATTAAATGATTAGTTTTTTAAATGAAAGAGATTAATTAATTTGTTTTACTAAATGAGAGGGACTAATTTATAATTTACTCTTAGCTAATGTCCGGTGCATGAGAATAAGAGTTTTAAGAGAAAGAAAGTTCAAAGGTTTTTGCTTAGAGATCAAAAGTTGGAGTTGAGAAAAGTCGAATCTCCTTCACAATGATATAGGATTGGTATTTACAATGAATCAAAGACAACTATTGACCGCTAGGGTTGTACCACGTCATCTATATTTGAATCATCATATTTGATTTGAAAAAAGTTTGAATTTTTTAAACTAAACTATTTCAACTTGCTAGTAAAGATTAAAAGAAATAATAATTAGGTTTTTTTTTTCTTCTAGCAAGCCATGCTCCAAACTTACCAAGTTAATTTCTCTTATACATCCCAAAGATAAAGCATGGATACTAATTATTTCAAAATACATGTGTCTATACTCGCGACTCAAAACTTTGTGTTAAGCGAGATCTATCCTTAGTCCAATCTATTTTGTTCTGTAACTTGGATTCATGTCAAAATTAAAAAAAAATAACCTTGATTAGTGTATAATAAAATTAATTTTTATGGACAAATTAAGACTATACAACTCAAAAAAATTTCAAAAAAAAAATAAATTAAAACCTTGCAAAAAGCTCATCACCACAAAACCAAATGCATATTAGGATGGATAATCTATTTGCACATATTTTCAAAGTAGGAAAAATTGAAACAAAGTCAAGCGAAATTTGAAAAAAAGAAAATGTCAGGGGACCCGGGGGCCTATAAATTATCTATACCCCCATGCTTGTTTCTTCACAACTCAAGCAATTTTGCTAGCCATCCATAGTCCATACGGCTGCCGGGGAATTATTAATTACGGTAAGTATAGATCAATATTAGTTTGGTTATAGCAATCAAGTCACTGCACAAATTTTTCTTTTATATATATATACACATGTTTTGCAGAAAAAAATATATAACGTACGCACGCGTAAAACTAATATAAGTTATAAACACCATGGGATTATCTGTGAGACGCAGGAATTACTATATGGATTTTTCTGGCAAGACGATTAGGGTAAGAAGGCAAGAACCGGTTCTTGTCCGTCCAGCTGGAGAGACGTTCAATGGGTTGTTCTTGTTGTCCAATCTTGACCAGACATTTCCTCGCCCTATTGAGGTTCTGCTTGCCTTCAAAACATCAAAAGAAAATGCCCCTCAAATACTTAAAGACTCCTTGGCTAAAGTCTTGGTCGAGTTTTATCCAATTGCTGGTTGCCTTGCAAGAGGATGGGATGACAAAATTTTGGTTCGATGCACAGGAGAAGGAGTGCCATTCGTTGAAGCAGTTTCAGATAACCAACTTGATGATGTCGGCGACATTACCATTCTTGTGGAAGAAAAGCTAAGAAACTTTGTTTGCTGCATGCAGGATGGTGTGGAAGATAACATCTTGGATGTGCCTTTGCTGCAAGTGCAGGTAATTATAACATAAAGAAAATGATTTATTGATAGCACAAAGCCCGACAATGCGCTGTTAATGAATAGTAAGGAAATTCGATGTAAAACACTAACACCTAATTAAAAAAGAAAAAAAGAAAAAAAAACTTTTTAGGACTATCATACTATCCCGAGTTTAATAGTTTCATCTAAAATACATCATTTTTTTTTGTTGAATTCTCATTTCTCAGCTTTTTATATATATTACTTATTGATTTTTTTATATGAGATATTACTATATATCTAAAAGATGTGGGGATATGAACAGTGATTTTCACTGTACATCCCCTCATAGATCACTATTCACTAGTTTTTTTTTTTTGTAATTTTTAAATTTTTTTTATTTTGGTCCCTATAATTTTAAAATAAAAATTTTAGCCCCTTAGCTAATGCATAACAAATTTTTTTTTCCATCAATTTATGTTCTTTTTTTTAAAAAAAATTTAACTAGGTGTTAAAATTTTGAAAATCAAACGTTATTTTTTTCACATAAAATGACGATTATATAATATATATGATATATTTTTAGATTTTAAAATAAACATATACTATTCTTATTGTTTAAAATTGATCTTTTCAATTTATTATAAGAAATCACATCAAGTTAACTTTTATTTTTATTTTTATATTAAAAATTAACTATACATCTTCCAACATAATTATTTTTTCTACATAAACCGACGATTATATAATATACACGATATGTTTTTAGATTTTAGAATAAATATATACTATTCTTATTTTTTAAAATTAATCTTTTCAATTTATTATAAAAATTCATATCAAGTTAATTTTAATTTTAATTTTTATATTAAAAATTAGCATCTTCCAACATAATATAAATTATTTACTATGGACATTTTTTTTTTTAACATTATAGAGCCAATTTATTTGAAATAAATAATTAAAATAATTTTTTAAAGGAACCAACCAATTATTCAAATATAGTTTTTAAGCTAATTTTATTGATTATTTTGTAAATAAATATATAGAGATCAAATGCATATACTTGAAAAAAAAATCTTCTCACCAACATTAAATAAGAATAATTTTTTATTTTTTCATTGGTTAATTTTTATGCAAATCTATACATTAATTGTAACTTTATTTTTTGGATACATTCTTATAAAAAAAATAAGTTTAAAGTATTTATTATTGAATTGTTAATTAATATTTCAGGTTTAAATTATTATAATTTTTTTATTTAAGAATCCCTGAATAAATAAGAATAAATCATTTTTTAAGTAGAAATTTTATGACAAAAAAATTATTAAAAAAATTATGAAATTTTGAAATGATTTTATTCTATCTACTCGTATGGTTGCGCGTATTATTTCAAAAATTAATCTTCTCATCAACATTAAATAAATAAAAAAATTCATTTGTTAATTTTTGTAAAATTTTATCCATTAATTATAACTTTATTTTTTGAAATACAATATTATGAAAATCATATTGTTAAAGTTTTTTTAATTCTTGATTAATATTTTAGTTAAAATCATTATAATTTTTTATTTTAAAATCAATCCATAAAGAAAAATGATTTATGTTTTTTTTAAGTAAAAAATTTATAAAAAAACATTAAATAAATAAATTAAATTAAAAATTATAATTAAAAAAATTTTAAAATTTTAAATTGATTTAGTTCTATTAGACCCAACGTAGTGCGTGCTAGTATGGTCCTAATGATAGGCTTCGTACTACCATTTTATAGTTCTATCACTTTATTTTATAATGTTGGTAGTGCGTAGTTGCGGCACCTGTTAATCAGTATACTACGTTACAAATTTGAATACGTGTCAGAAAAATGCTATTGCAAACATGCATTGTTAATATATAGGCAGGAAAAGCTTAGCAAACATGCTATTAACCTTATTCTAGAGAGAGTAGTATATGCGGTAATATATGGCGTATATTAAGCGGTAGAATTCTCCTCTGGTACCAAAGCAACTTTGGTATTATAAATGCATAGTTATGATCTGCTTAATTCCTTTGTGAAATACATGCATGCAGGTAACAACATTTAAATGTGGAGGAATGATTCTGGGAATAACAGCGTCCCATGTCATTGCCGATGGTAGAGCCTTCATGAATTTCATGGTCAGCTGGGCTGAAGTTGCAAGAAGCAATCCGATATCCCTCCTTCCCGTTCTAGATCGATCCTTATTGTCTCCAAGACAACCTCCCAAAGTTTTCTTCCCTCACCATGAATACGAAACCAAACCAAGAAAAAAACAGTCTAGTCCACGGGATCAAGATCAAGAACCATACATGTACCGATCCTTTTGCTTCACACCCGAAAAGCTTAAACAACTCAAGAAAATGGCTACTGATGACCAGTTCAGGGGACCAGCCACAAGCTTTGAAGTGATAATGGCATTAGCATGGATTTTCCAGACTAAGGGGTATAAATTCAAACCAAATGAAACTACAAAACTTTTGATTGCAGTTGACGGAAGACCTAAATTTGGTCCATCTTTTCCAGAAGGCTTCTTTGGGAACGCCATTGGTTGGGCATGTGCTCAATCCAAAGCAGGTGAGTTGCTGAAAAAACCATTTCCAGCGGTAGTTAAGATGGTGCATGATGCCCCGAAAGTGGTGACTGAAGCGCACATAAGGTCAGCCATAGATCTGTATGAAGTGAAAAGAGCTGAGCTTGAATCAGAGAATTCATATTGTGCCAGCAAATGGAGTAAGCTGGCTTTCTATGATTCGAATTTCGGCTGGGGACATCCTTCGCAAGTTGCTCCAGCATCACTTGGGAATGAGTTTATGGTGACCCTTGCTCAAGGAAAAGATAGTCAAAATATCATTTTGTCGTTAGGTCTGCCTCAATCTGCCATGGAGATTTTCGAGGAGCTGATGCTAATGGAGCTCCAACGGATCTAATTAAGGCTGCCGTGTAGCATTTCTACACAACCATGACTGTTTTTATAACTATATATCGCAATAAGAGATGGACCTATAGGGCCTTTATGGATTTCGTGGTCACCCATAAAACATAATATTTCATGTTTTGTTGTAACTTGATCTGTTTTACTAGTTTTATTGACAGGTTCTCTGTTCGGAATAATTGTCAGCTATTTTGTTATAATTTTCTCTAATCTTATAAATAAATATTTTTCAAATATTAAAGTTAGAGGTTTGATTTTTTTAAAAAAAATCTGAATAATTTTATATAAAATTTGATATTTTATAATCAACTTATTTTGTTCAGTATTCAAAACCTGCAATTTTTTTTAACTATATTCAAATAAAATTTTTCTCTAATTTAATTGATTTATTGGAATTGTCACAAAATGAAATAATATTTTGATAATAGAATTAAAATAAATATGTTCAGACATTAAAATAAAAATATGATAATCAATAACCTAATAATTTTTATTTTTTAAAGTTTGATCTTGATTACAAACATTTAGTGAATATCTATAGTTGAAAAAAAAAAAAACCAGGTAAATTATTAGATGTTAATCAGGATGACAAATTTACCCATCCGGACAAGTGCGTAGTTAACAAAATCCGACTTGATCAGAGGTGGGTATGGAGGCATTTATATAAAATAGATGGATGAGGATGTGAATAGAGAACATGTCTCCCATTCCATGAGAAACCCAAACCCAGTTAATCACTCAAAAAATTAAATATTTGACGAAAAAGCCTTCCAAGTTTAAGATAATATTACAAAATTAAATATCCTCTTATACCTAAAATGCCCTTAAGTGCTATTAGAATAGATAGTTAAATTAATAACTTAAAAAACTAGAGGAAGAATATATATATATATAAACGGAACATTATTTTTTTTAAGTACATGAACAATAATAACTTTATTATTTAATTTCATTCAATTTTTTTTAAGTAAAATTTCAGGAGTTGTATTGTTGGGGAAGAAAGCCAGAGTCAACACAGATTTGATCCAAGCTTGTTTCAGTACAATCCAGTCTTGTTAAACCCAATTCAGGGAAGCTTTCCTGCATAAGCTGGAGGAGTCTACTGGCATCACAATGAAACAAGGCATTAAACAAAACTGATACAGTTTTCTTACCAGGGTCAGTAGTATTTTCTTAACAGTGAACCATATGTGCACCGCCTGTAATAAAGTAAAAAGAATTAGTACCTTATTTTTTCCTTGCTTTAGATTTCTATGAACATTTAACATGGCATGTTCTACCTTCGTTGGTCTTCAATGGAAGTATGATGTGTTCCTTAGTTTCAAAGGCAAAGACACGCCTCATAATTTTACCAAGGATAGCATTTCTAACATAAATGCATATTACTGTATTGCAGGAAAATTGTATATTATTTACAGGGTCAAATCATATCCTTAACGTTACAACTATAAATTATATTTCTTCGGAAAAGAAGGTATACATTCGCTTTTCTTTTTTCTTTTTTATTTCATTACTAATTTTGATTTGAAAAATTATGACTCCACAAATATGATCCAATAATGCTTTTCTTTTTATTATATATAAAGATGTCTACATTACAAGATTCTAGCATGTCTTTCAAAGAGTTACTAGAGCAGTTATTTCAATATGTTATCATATTTTTGTTATAAAGGTGTTTAATCTTTGTAAAATAATCTAATAATATAGAAATTTGACAGAATTCATCTCAAAATTTGATGATTGATAATCCACCCTCAAGTCGAAAGTAATCTTGCTAGATTTGGCTACCCTTGAATCACGAGTAGGTTCAGAGTTGATTTCTCAACCAAATTTAAAAATATTATTTAAAGATTATCTGATCGAAGAATTTTTACTATTTTTAGTTATATTTTTGTCATAATTCTATTTTAATGTATTCTTACTACACTTATGACTATCCTTGAATTTTGATGTTACTTTGATTAGCTATTGTATCATTGAATTATGTTGTGAAGATATGAGATTTATTTTATACTGTATCATTGAATTAATTTTCAGCAAATAATAGAAAAAGAAAAAGCACTGTAGAAGCATGTGTAGAAGCTGAATTTAATTTCTTTATTTCCTATATAAATTAAGACGCAGTCCCACCATTTGTTGTACAAGCTTTGTTTGTTAGCTAGTGCAACATATACTTGAAGAAGCAAAATTTTATTTAGAGAAGATAAATTTGCTGAACATAATGGAGGATCGAGAAGGAGTTGAATGACATTAATGACATTGCAAAGGACAATTGACCAAATTATTTCAGTGCAAGTAAGGCTACGAGGCCTAGCTAAAACGAAAGAAGCACTAATGGGAAGCCACAATTTACGGGCCACCAGGCACCCCATATGAAAATGGTGCTTTGGATGTTGTAAACTAATGCATTTTATTTGTTCATTTCTTTCTTAAACAGATAAATACTGTTGATACCCCAGGTACTAATGTCAGTCTCCAAAGGCAACAGCGTCTTACTGAAGAATTTGTGCCTCGTGCAGATTTGCTTCTTTTTCTTATTTCTGCTGAAACACTGGCATTGGAATGCCCTGGCCCATGGGTTTGGACTTTGGTGTAATATGAAGACCTGTACCAAGGACTTGTTCCTTTGGGAAATTTAGGCTCATTGAAGAATATCATGAAAATTTACTCATGAAAAAAAAAAAAAAAGAAGAAGAAGAATTACACCAAAAATTATTTTTTATATCATTGTACGCCTATCCATGAGCTATCAGTTGCTTAAAGGGGACAAATAGACTATAATAGATCCTCCAATTCTGTCAAATAAAGTAATTAACGGGAAGGTAAACATAGTTTCATATACACCAGAATCAAAATATCCAAACATTTAGTTTACATTTTTCCCGTCAGTGGAAAAAAAAATTTGTTAAAGGAATGAACTTACTATTATTTGTCTCTTTACAACATTAAAAAAGAATAGGATTTGACTTTTTCCTTTTTCTTTCCCCATAACCTTATTGAATATAATATGAGAATGCCTTTGAGATCAAAGTGCGTTGTGGTTATATAGATTGTACCCAGAGATAAGGGAGCTACCAGTATAGGCAATAAAAGCCAGGAAGGCCATGACAACAGAAGCAGTTGCCATCTCTGTGAACTCATCTTTGCCCCAGTTAGATTGCCAGTCATCAACCCAAGTGGCTGCCGATGATGATGCAGATACCAGAAGATATACTACTAGTATCTGCCAGTTTGAACCCAAAAAATACAAACAAAACAACAATAACAACTATTCACTTTCAGCATCCACAGAAAAAAAGTCTCATGGCTGCTTGTATCAGCTGTCAGTATCCAGAAACCAAAGAGAAATAATTCATTGTTCATGGTTGTATTTTCATTTGGTCCGAAGAATGTAAACTACATCCACATCATTAATATAGGCCTCCAAACCAAGTTGAATGCAGGAGTCATTTAACGCCTGATCTGCATAAATTAGTTATGGTACAAGTAAATGGATCTCTGGTCAACTAGAAGTAATGGAAACCTCTGCTTAAATGCAGAAGCCAGAAAGCATGGACTTGCAGTGAATTACGAGAGGCAGATTCAATCAGCCCTACTCTAGATCAACACAAGAGTATTTCTCATCACTGACAAGAGTTGAAGGAACTAAGCTCATAAAACACATAAATCAAACCTTGCTAAGTACCTATTTATCCATAGTATAATAAATATGGAACTAAGCTCCCTCTTGGCTGGCCAGATTGGACTCATTCACCAATAGTGCAAGCACGTGTTTGATCAATCGTACTCATTGGAAAAGCTACAAGACCATCTTTTTCCTAGAGAAAGAATAAGTAAAATTAACAGCAGTACATTACATTAGAACATATTTCAAGACATTTCATCAACAGGGCAAAGAAAGATCATTAACTACGAGATATCTGTAAGACCATAACAAGGAATGAATTCATAAGTAAGGAATATTTTTGTATCACATATCAGTATGGCGCAGCAAAAATATGATAAAATGAACATACATCAAAGTGAAGTCGATGCCCAGCAAGGAGAACACTGTCCATCTCACTGCCGTAGGCTACACCTTCATAGTGGTCATGGAAGATGGCCAAGCAGTGATGATATGAAGATCTGTATGCAATCTCAATTTCCTTTTTGCCTTCTTCAGATAAGGAACTGCATACATCCAAGATGTCCTGTATACAATCAAAGGCAGAAAGTCAATCCACTTTACATCACGACCTAATTCCCTTGCTGTTTCTCTTCTCTTCAATTAGCAAGTCAATCCACTTTACATCACGACCTAATTCCCTTGTTGTGTCTCTTCTCTTTGATTAGAAAGGTTGGTGAGAAAAGAATTGCAGCCACTAACATAATTCCCTTGTTGTTTCTCTTCTCTTCAATGAGAAAGATTGGCGAGAAAAGAATTACAACCACTGGTTACTCTTCAATTAGAAAGCTTGGCAAGAAACGAATTGCAGCCACTGACCTAATTCCCGTAATCCCGTAATATCAAAAGTTATCCATCAATTCCCCTGAAGCCGTAAGTTTGCATCATCTGACAAACTTATTTTCAAGGATATATTGACTATAGATATATATTTCCTTTATATATATAAATTTAAACAACATACTTTTATGCAGTTCTTTCTGCAGATACAATATATATTTCTTTCTGCCAATACAATTTATATTCATAATTTGGTAAACTCTTCAGAGAGTGAAAATGAATTTCCCATAACCATCAAACAATATGGGGTGATGACACAACTTATTTCCTAAGAAACTATAAAGAAAGGCTGTTAAGGGCACCTATCAAAAAAATAACTACGAAATAAGAAATAAACGACAAAATATCTACTAAAAAAGAAATTAAGCATAACATTACTAAATGAGAGTTTAACCTTAAAACAGTATTGTTGAGTGGTGGGTTCGGGTTTTTTATGGGTTCGATTGGTTTTGTTTTGTGGTTGAGGAAGAGAGGGTTGACTCTGCTCATCATCAGATACCTCTTCTTTTTCACCACTGGAAGTTTCTTCCTCTTCTTCTTCGGAGCTAGAAGCAGAAGCTGGATCTTCAAAGGGAGGGGGCGTTTTGGTGCCATTGAGAAACAGAGAGAGTTAGGGTTACGAAAGAGAGTTTGAGCATAAGCGGCAGGGTGGGTCTTTGAGAGAAGAGGGAAAGCCGTCCCTACGAATGTTGTTACCATCGTAGTGGAGGATAAATAATTAATATTGAAATCCATCGTACTGAACGACATCGTTATATGCAAAACAAGGAGAATTGTTGTTGTTTTGCGTTAAAACAACGCTGTTTTTGGAGAAAAAATTAAAATGATTTAAATACCATATCATATGGTATTATAAATTTAAGATAATATTAAAATATGATAATAAATAATCTAATAATTTTTATTTTCTAAAGTTTGATCTTGATTTCAAACATTTAGGTAATATCTATAATTGAAAAAAAAAAAACAAAACAAAACAAAATAAGACTAGATAAATTATTAGATGTTACTGAGGATGACAAATTTATCCATCCTGACAAGTGCGTATCTAACAAAATCCAACTCGATGAGGGATAGGTAAGGGGACATTTACATAAAATAGATAAATGAGGATGTGAATGGAGAACATGTCTGTCGTTCCATAGGAAACCCAAAACCAGTTAATCACTCAAAAAATTAAAGATTTAACAAAAAAAGCTTTTAAGTTTAAGATAATATTACAAAATTAAATATCCTCTTATACCTAAAATGCCCTTAATTACTATTAGAAAAGACAGTTAAATTAAGAACTTAAAAAACTAGAGAAAGATATATATATATATATATATATATATATATAACGGGACATTATTTTTTTAAGTACATGAACAATTATAATTTTATTATTTACTTTCATTCATTTTTTTTAGTTTCCTTTTCAATATTTTTCTCTATTTTTTTTTTAAATTTTCTTAGTTTAACTCTTTTTTTTTTTTCTAAATAGTAATTAAGAGCAATTTAGATATAATAGGGGATTTATGTCAAATCTTCAAACTTTTGGTTAATTTGTATATTTTTATGATACCTCATTAAGGTTATTGTGATTTACCTATATTATTTTTGGTCTTTTCTCATTTCTTGAACAACTAATCTTTTAAAATAAATTTATCATTAAGTTTAATTTTAATTATTTATATTTATCAATGGGTTTTGCCCATACATGGGCTTTTTATTCTTTGATTTGTTTTGATTGAAACCATGTATTTTTTTCATATTGATTGAGTCCCTTTATACTTTATTTTATTTTGTTTTTGTCCTTCTATTATAACTATGTTAGTTGGGACTTGATGTTTCATTGACATGATATGTCTATTTTTGAAAGCATGACACATACATGAGATCTCAATAAGTGGATTCAATCAAAATAATTTAAAGAATATAATACTTCAATCAAAATAATTCAAAAAATACATAGATCAAATTATTATTATTTTTTAAATTTTCATGTTATTATGTTTTTAAGACATCATCTTGAATTCCGCAAAACATATATATATATATATATATGCCATCCCATAAAACTTTGAAGAGTATTTGAAAAAAGAAAATTATTGTAAGAATTTAGAAATAATAAAGCACATACAAAGGAACCTAGCATGCAATTAAAAAAAATTAAGTTCAAATATATTTTTCAAAATTAAAATAAAAACAACAATAATACTGACTAATAGTTAATTATTTATATTAAAGAAAAATATGTGGTGAAGTCTCAAAGTTATTATTATTATTTAGAAAGAGAGCAACTTTATTTTTCACTTTGTATTGGTCAAATGTTCAGAATTTCTTACTTTTATTTTATGGAGGATTAGATCCATTAATTAGGATTATGTAATTGATCAATATTGCACACCATCATAATTTTAATAATTGCATGTTAGATTGTTTTTTTCTATGTATTATTTTTCATTTCAACTTATTCTAGTATTTTTAAAAAATATTTCAAAATGTTACCGTAATGGATCTTATGTATGATATTTCATGCATTTATTATGAAGTTTTTTTTGTTAAAAAAAAAACATGAAAATTAAAAAAATATTTGAATTATTGTATTTTTTTGAATTGTTTTGATTAAAGTCTCATACTTTTTGAATTTTTTTCATTGATTATCTCACGTATAACATGTGTCATATTTTCAAAAGTGAACGCATCTCATCAGCTCACATTCAATGACATTATAATAGAGAGATGGAAGATTTTTTTTTACGTTTTGATTTTTAAAAAGATAATTTGAATCTAAATATTTTTTTATCTATGGTTTATTTTAATTTCCTGCATTAATTTAGATTTAATTTTTTAGATGCTTTGAAATTTATTTAGTTAACTTTAATTTTAAAATTTATTATAATAATTAGGTGAGGTAATTAATTGACAAATGAATTGTTGAATATCATAATTTTTAGGGACCGATGACAATTCTTTTTATCAACAAACAATAAATATAGAAATAACAAATAAAAATAACAACACCAAAAAAGAGAAGAACGAAGAACTTTGGACCAAAAAAAAATTTAAATTTATAACAAAGTTTCCTATCTAATAGAGAATATTGTTAGAAAAAAAATCAATTTAAATTAACATTCTAAACGAAGTCTCTTATTTGATAAGGACTTGTCATTAACAAAAATTAAAATTTTTAATAAAATCTCTTATTTGATAGGGATCTGTTGTTAGCAAAAATAATTAAAATTAAAATTAAAATTCGTAACGAAGTCTACTATCCGATAGAGATTGTCATTAATAAAAAAAAAAAAAAACTCTTAATAAAGTCTCCTATCTGATTGGGCAAAATAAAATAAAGAATAAATGGATTCAATCAATGCAAAAAAAAGGTGTAAAGTTGAATCAAAGTAATTTGAAAAGTAAAAAAAAAAAAAAAAGGACAAAATCTATTTATGAATGTATCAGATAGGAGATTATTTTTCAATTAAGGTAAAGAAACCCATCTTTTCTATAGCTCAACACAGTAGTGGTAGCTCAAGCATGTCTCCATTTCCATAGATGTGCATGATCATGAATTATGCTATGCATCAAAGATCAAGTCATATTCATCAAAGTAGAAGAAAACGAAAACAAAGAGCCGAGATCAGTGTAGCTACGAGGAGGGAAAATAAACATTTAGACGTCTATATAGCTTTAGTTAACAGAGTTCATCTTTCGTTATATTTTTTAATCCTCCTATATACCTGGATTAGATAATATGTTTGTTGGAGGGGATTAATTAATCATCTTAATGTACTTTATTTCCGGTTTCATTTGAGCGACTTTTTTTTTTTTCCTGTTCTGTTAAACAAAAAGGAAAATGCTAAGGATAGTCCTAAGTGGCTCACTGGCTCTGATCTAAACAAAATAACCATTCCCATTTCTGTTTTCATCAATCAATTAGTCTACATGGCATGGCTGCTCTATATGTACGATTTTGCATTTGAAATTTATTTACTGCTACATATAAGTTTCAATATTGCTATATATTCTTTCAGGTTTTTCTTTCGTATCTGGCCATGTCGAATATGAAGGGCAATATTTCAGATGAAGAGACAGATTTTAGTGAATCCGAGATCGATGGCTTTATTGAAAAACTATGTGAACGGCTGAAAGCTGGAAAGCACACAGTAAAGAACCCAAATGCCACATTTAGATGCCCCTTCTGTGTAGGAAAAAAGAAGCAGGAATATAGTTTCTGCGAGCTTCTTCAACATGCCTCTGCGGTAGGGGTTGTAGGCTCATCTCATAGAAGTGGAAAAGAAAAGGCAAGTCATCTTGCCTTGGCAAAATACTTAGGGGAGAACCCGGCGGATGAATATTCTAGATCAGAGGATCCTAAGTTTAAGCCTGGAAAGTTGAGTGAGCAGCTTAAGCAAGAGAAGCTGTATGCTTGGCCTTGGAAAGGAATTGTTGCTAATATATCGAGCAAGCGAAGGCATGAGAATGAGATTACGAAAAGTTCATAGTGGTTGAGGAAGTTTTTCGAATAGAAACCTGTCGAAGTTAATGGTTTACGGGATGAAGAAAACCTTAAATGGTATGTGACAGTTGGTTTCGCTGATGATATGACCGGATACGAGAACGTTGTCAGATTGGACACTGACTTTGAAGTCATTTTACATGGTAGATCAGATTGGAATGCTTGGAGAACGGATCCTGGTTTGAATTTCTGTGGATGATGTGCGTGCAAAGATGACTACAGTTCGAAAGGTGTTATCGGGACTTATCTACATGCGAATACAAAGTTGTATACAATTTCTAACATGGAGGAAAAATCTATGGAAGAAAGAAGCATGATGTTGACGAGTTTGGAGAAAGAACTAGAGATCAGTACCAACACTAGCCTCTATGAGATGCAATATAAGTACAACGAGAAGAGTGTCTCTGAGTAGAATGACTGAAGACAATGACAGGCTTAACAAGGCTCACAATGAAGTTAAGTGTTTCAACTCATATTTATTTATGTGCTATATGCATGAGTCGCAATTTTAGAAACAATGCCCATATCTTAGATTTAAATTACTAGTTAAAAAATTATGCTAATTATATTCGTCAGTGATTTTCCATGCCATATTTTCATGTCTTCAGAGATGGAGAGGATGCAGCGCCTCGTACACGCCAATACTTGTAGTAGAATTATAAAGGAGACTAAAAGAACGAAACGGGAGTTCGATAGCAACAAAACAGAACTTGATAGATGGTGCAAAGAACTGAGTGATAGGGAAGCCTTAACCATATGTGATAGAAGGAAGATTGAAGAGGAGTCAAAAATGGAAATGCCATTACCTGTTAATACAATCATTATTTAAAAAATGTTTGTCTGAGTTTAACTCATAGTTTTAAATTATAGACGCATAATTTAGAATCACAAACATGATTGTAAAAATAATCGTGATCTTAGATTATAATTTATTGTAGTAGTAAAATAACAATAATGACAATCAATATAGTAAATGCATTAATAGTTGTTAATATATTTATTCTAATTTATATATATTTAATAATTTTATTAATTAAATATAATAATAATATTTCTAATAGTTTAATATCATATAATAATAATTGAATTTATTATTAAAAAAAGAGTTAATAATGCATTTATTTGTTTAATATCACATAAAAATAATAAAATACATTACAACTTCAAAATACATATTATAAAATATTTACTTCTAGAAAAATCGCCATAAAGAGTCATAATAATAGTTATTATCTTATTGTGGCCATTATCATCCTTATCATCAACATTATATTACCCTCCTAAATCCAATTGCCCAACTAATAAAGCAGTTATGTATGTTCTAATTTATTGATAATATTGTGAATTTAATAGATTTAAAATAAATTGATCTTAGAAGTACCATATGAACCATAAGATGCATAACTATATACTTGTAAACCTAAAAGAATGTATAATAAATCCAAATTTTTGGGGAAAAAAAAATCAAATCATGACATTACATGACAATAATATCATTATTTATGTGAAGCGACCATAAGGTAATAACAGTAATGGATGAAAACAACGCAAATCCAAGAGAACCGAAGCTAATTGAAGTGGCTTATTCATTGCAAAAAACTAAAACATGAACTAAATTCAATAAGAAAAACTATTTACTAATCTTTACATATCAAGGGAACTCGAAAAGAAACAAAACCGAAGCTAACTAGAAGTACTAAATTTCTTTGTAAAATAAGTAGTTGGAAACCCTTCACAAGTGATCCTGCTTCCGCATGTCTAAAGAAAGAACTCAAAACAAGCTAGTGATCCGTATCAGTATGTCTAAAGAAGAAACTCTAGGAAAGCTCAGAGAGTGTTCGGCCAAAGCTCTTTTAGATTTCAATCCCTTCAAAGCCAAGCAGGTAAGAAGCATTTGATAGGTTGTTGGTAAAAAAAAAGTGTATTTTATTAATTTAACTTTACTGAGGGAAGATGTTTTGGAAAATAAAGTAAATCAGATTCCACTTAAACAAGCATCGAGCATAGACCATAGACTGCACAGCCGAAGGAAAATTCAGCAAGGCTTGAAGAGATTAGTCCACTTTCAGCATTAAGTTTCTCTTAACCTCTGCTAATCCTCCTATAATCCTCAACTTGTTCTTAGTATCCTCTTTATTCTCCCTTTTGTGTACACCAAATCACAGAAAATCCCTCTGATATTTTCTATAATTACAGTGCTGCTTTGAAACACAAACACAAAATAGAGAGAGGCAAAGATGTAGAGACCAGAGGAGCTTGAAGAGCTAAGGAAATTGACCAAAATGGGATTTCAATATCTAACAAACTCACACAATAATTAACACAAGTTGAAAAAACAAAATAAGTTTCAACAGCTAAGATGATACATGCTAAGTTGCTAACCAACTGGTAAACAAAATTCTTTAGTTTTCAAAAGGTTAACTTTATGGCAAGTCCAGAATTCAAGTAAACCTTATAACCTTTTCTATCTAGCAAAGTCGATATATGACCAAAAAATTTCTTTTAAGGACAATTCAAACAAAGCTGAAAAAAAATGCATGTAGTGCATGCACGCACAAAATCAGCATGAAAGCCTAGACAAGACATGATCACTTAGAATCCAAAACAATTCAACCAGGTTCTTCTCATCTCATCACATCCCTACTATCACCTGAAGGAACTTCATCAACATGAAAGAAAGGAAGATGCTAAGCAACAATTAGTGCAAAAAATTATCATCAAGAAGCTGCCAGGATGAGATTGACACAGGTCCAAGAATAAGGATGTCGAGATCAGAACTTGATATAGAACAAATTTGAATGCCTTCATGTAAAATCTGAAAAACTTTGTGAGTACGAAGTAAAATTTTCCTTCATGTAATCATTCAAGCAATCTATAAGAAGGCTGAAAGATGGAGACAGAAACACATGCACTCACATGCTCACTACCCATGTGTGCACTCACACCCACACCACACCCACTCACAACACACACACAACGAATGACAAAGAGCAAAATCCCAGCTAGACACGACTAGGTCTGTCACTACCTAATAATCCCTACTTAGCACATCATATCATGTCCACTGTCACCATAAATTTTCCAAGAGGAATTCAATCAGCAAATGAGGTGGTGGTGGTGGTGGGGTGGGGGGAGAAGGGGACGAAGCTGGTAAGCCACAGTTAATGCAAGAATGTCTTCAATAAGCTAGCAAGATAAGATCGACAAAGATTCAAGAATAACAAACTAAAGCATCAGCACTCACATAGAGCAGAATCAAGCAACTTGAATATGTCCAAAACTGAAAAGGCCTGCCCACCACTTCATTTGTTAACAGAGTTAAAATGCCACCATATAATTACAGGAAATTTGTAATCCTGAAAATATCCAAGGAGAGAGATAGAAATGCAATTGGGAGAGAGTCAATGCAAGAAGCCCAGTCCCAGATAATGGGAGACTTAAAATATTATTCTATCCTCATTCGAACATGATACCCTGAAAGTTATAGGGACCCATAAATGGACAAGTTGATAGTCGAAAACCACAAGTAAACCTATCCTTTCTCCAACTTCTGCAGGTAAACATATCCTAATTTGTGAAGGACATATGAAAGCATGTGATGCTAATAAAGTTTTCCATTCCATCAGCTGCAGCCTCAAATCACAGACTGTTCTCTCCCTCCCCCCCCCCCCCCCCTTTCAAGTTTTCATTTTGACAAAGAATTCCTCACATCTTCCTCTGTTTTCCCTAAACCTAAACAGTCATCTAAAATGTAAAGCAAAAAAGAGAAGCAATTCCATGAGTTTAAAATTTGAAAATGCTAAAAATCAACAGAAGATGCAAAGAGCATCATAGACTCAGAGATGCATGTATGCTTTTGGTCAGAAGTGTAGTTGAGAATAGCTACACTTCCACTGCAACAACTGACATGGAATGCTAATACCATCACTGAACAATAAATGAGCAGAAAAAGAAACATTCAGAACAAAGAAAAACAAGAACATATGTGCAGATTAACAAAAAAACTTTATTTTATTTCTTTTTTTTTTTTTTTGGTTATAAGTATTAAGTCTGTCCATCCTCAATGCCAAGACCATATAAAACACCAGCATATTTCTCAGGGTAGCCACTAAAGAAAATCTCCTTCAATTTCATAAAAGAACTACAAGTAAGCAAACTATCAGAACCTGCTTGGTGACAAATACCAATCCTCTCCACACCCAACTGCTCAGCCAGCTTGTTCAACCCACCATGAAGACCATTACAAAACTTCATCAAATGCTTAATATCATAAAGCACGGGGAAATATAACTTGATCAGCTTAAAAAACTCTGCTTGTGTATCAGGCAATTTCTTGTTAGTAAGCATCTTAAGCAGATACCCAAAATCATACCCACTATGAAATGTAACCCAATGAACACTATCATTCAAAACAATCCCAGACGTCATTAACAGCTCAGTAAACTGCCTAGCATCAACACCAACTTCATTATTCTTCACAAAATCAATGCCACTTTGGGATAAAAGCTCAATAGAATCATTAGCATAGACATCCTCATTGAGGTTAAACTCACAAAAATTGAATTGCCAAACACAATACTTATCAGTTCCACAAGTTGGCAAGTTCCCTTTTTCATCAGATAAGGTAAGACCCAATTGAATTAACTTCAAAATATCAACATTTGTCTTAAGGGTCTGATAGTTGTAATCAGAGCTAGTCTTAGAACATCCGACTGGACGTAAAGCAATGCCAGGAAACTCGGTGTCCATTGCAATGTAGGGGAAATCGTCAACAATATTTAGGATCGATTTGAATTCTTTTTCAAGATTATAATTCCATACGTCCCTAATAACAACCGATTCTTTGTTATGCACAACCGACATTTTAGAGTTCAAGGCCAAACAAACCCTGAAAAGAAAAAGAAACAAGAACCCAGTTCAATATATGAAAAAGGAAAGAAACCCATAAATTTAAAAAAAAAACAAGAATCCAATTCAATAAATAATGAAACAGATAAAAGAAAACCATAAGTTGAAAACCTAAAATTGAAGAAAAGAAAAGAGATTGACAGATGTTACCTTGAGAGATGAAAGATGTGGAAATGATGATTCTTGGAGAGGGAAAACAAAGGGTTTTGTTGATGGTTGATAGGGTTTTATTTTGTTTTTTTACTTTTTTTATTTTTTTCCTTTTTTGGAAGGCTCTTCCTTTGCTTGGCTGCTTACATTCTGGGTGGCAGCATGATCCAAGCACTGAGATTTGAATCAGAGAGACATGGAAAGAGACTTGGGAGTGGGAGAGTTGTTACTCGTATTTATACATGCGTAGCATTTTTCTTTAAAAAAAAAAAAAAAATCGGATTTACCTATTTGTGCAATTTTTTACGTATGGGCTAAATAGTATTTCTCAGGATAAAAGAAAACTATTAGCTAAATGATTAAAAGTTTAAAGACTTCTAGTAAAAAATTATGAGCTCAAAAAATAAATTATAAATTAATTCATCTCATTTAAAGAAATAAATTAATTAGTTTTTTTTTTTTTTTTAAAGAACTTACAATGGAGGGTTCTGAAACTGTTGGTTCAAATAGTATTTTAGCTCACAGGTTGTGGACTACTAAAACTTTCAATTCCATGGCCCTTCTTCGTACATATGTAAGCTAATTAAATCACTATTAAAATATAGCACTATATTGATACTTTAGGTTGATTAACAAAACTCTAAAAAGTCTTAAAACAAGCCAATAAAAAACATAAAATAATTAAATTAAATTAACATTCATCAAATTATCAAATTGAATTTTTAGTTAATTTTTGTAGGCTATTTTTTATTATTTTTTTCATCGTTTTTACTCGTTTGGGAAAAAAAATATATTTTGTTTATAAGTTTTCATTCATGTCTATATTGTTTATTTATATTCATGCCGTTACATATAAATGAAAGAACAATTTAAATTAAAAAAAATATAAATTATTAAAATTAAAAAATAATTAAATTACATTAAAATTCATCAAGTTATTAAATTGAATCTTTAGTTAATTTTTTATAGTCTATTTTTGGTTATTTTCTTTTATTTTTTGAACAAATACTAATAATATTAATAAAAGAAGCTTTTAAACTAATTTATAAAAATTCTATTCATGTCTATATTGTTAATTTATATTCTATGTCACATATAATTGAAAAGAATTTTATAAATTAAAAAAATTAAGTGGAAAGTATTTATCTTAGCTGTCAATTGTTAAGTTTTGAAAACTAATTCAATTTTTGTCCTAAATCTTTAATTAAGCCCAGTTAAAATTATTTTATATAGTTAAAAAATTATAAAAATTAATTTAATTATAATTATAAAAATTTTTATAAAATTATTTTTTAAAAAATAACTAGTAAACATTTAAATTTATTTATTTAAATAAATAAATTAGTCAAATTATACATGTACGAATCACCTATCAATAAACTAGTTTAAAAAATAAATTTTTTTTTTTCTTTTGAGTCTCCTAGTAAGTTATATCGAGGTATAAATAAATAAATATGACCTCATAGGACATGGGTTGTGTGAGCCATACCGGAAAGTAGGAGTCAAAATTAGAGTTGGAGTTCCAATTAATATTTTTTAACCTTATGTTTTTTTTTTAAGTATGTGCTAGTATGGATGGATATTGTGTTATGAGCTAAAGTATATATTCTTATGATCAGCTTTTATTGGATTGTTTTTGTTTATCCCATCTGAAACTAAAGTAATGCCTACCTCTCTGCTTAAACTCAAAACAAATTATTAGTTCAATAATAAACGAATTGATATTTAAATGAATATTTTTTATTAATATACAGAATTTAAATTTTAAAACTATACATATTAAAAATAATTAAATTTTATTGTTTCTATCTTGAACAAAATTAGTTATGTATGTAATATGGAATAAAAATGCATGGATAAAACAAAAAAAATAAACTCAAAATCACTCCAATCATCTCCAAAATAATGCAATATCCCAAACGCTAATAGTTTTTTTTAATATATATATATATATATATATTGTAGCTCTTAGATTCTTAAAAACAGAACATGTTAAATAAAAAACTAAGAGAAAAGATAACAATCAGTCACGGTCTATAAAGATGCATAAAAACCACGCGAATAGATATTTTTTGTTAGGTTGATGGGAAACAAGAAAGGAAAGCTGCTCCCGCTTGCGTTCCCAATGTGTCCTGCTGGCTGCTTGCACCCGAAAAGCGGAAGGATGGAAAAGGAATAAAATATATGATGGTTGCATATTGCTTTCATTGAGAGTCGAACTCAAGACCTCCCGCTTACTAAACGGGTGCTCTAACCATCTGAGCTATGAAAGCTTGCCTGAACGCATTTGAAAAGGTATTATACTGTTATTGAATAAACATTTTAGCTAAAATGGGCAAAAAATTAAATTGCAAAAGTGGGTTTTCATGCTCTTGTTCTAAGACTAAGACCATCCTGGTGCTCCTTCACTTATGTTATTTGGAAAGGGAGAAATAACAATACTATTTGTCATAAGAAGAGATCCACTCACACTCGAATTGACTTACGGAAAGTTTTTCTTTGTATTTTGCTTTATAATATATTTTTAGAATAGGACCTCTGGACAATGACTTGTTTGTATTTTGCTTTATAATATATCATGGGTTTAGCTAGAATTTTTTTATATTGATAACTTTTTTTTTTAATTTAAGAGTTTTAGTCTTATATTGTTGTTATTTCGGACCCTAATATGTCATATAAGCACACATGATAAGTTCTAGCCAACGATAACTTATCATATGTCATGTTGGTCTAAATTAGGTGATTAAATTAATGGTGTATCAAGTCGTTATTGGCTCGATTATGTCACATATGCTTACATGACAAGTCGTCATTGGTTAGTGTCCGAAATAATAACAACATAAGAGTAGAATTCTTAACTTGGATTAAAAAAAAAATTATGGTTTCAATTAAAAAAAAATTGAATTATATAGGATCTCAATATACATAAAACCCTTATTATTATTGATGCAATATTAGAAGGCAAAATGATTATTGTGATCTGCAACTTGATCATTAATTAATCATAACTAAGCTACTTGTAATCCAATTTTGTGATTGCCAAAGATCATGAATTGTCTTAGAATTCCTCCTAACACAAGATTCCACTACACATTCAATTAACCTCTCTACACTTATGATGCAATTTGGCTTCGCATCCTAAAGTTTTTTAAGGCTATTTTTCTAAAAGAGGACTAAAATTTGCCATTATGAAGGAAGATTGGATTGGCCATTTTCTCAAGTCAACCATTGCTATCTAGCTAGCTACAAATAGTTGCTCCATCTTCGATCAAACATCTCAATCATACTCGTTATTTCCCCTATTACCAAATACTGCATTTGAGAGCTTTTCCAATCCTTATTCGTCCGATTAGTCCTTTAGCTTAGGTTAAAGAAAAGAAAACGAAGAAAGTGAGCATATTTTGTGACTTTCAATTCTTTATTTCTCTTTGTCTCCTTCTTGGAATGTTTTTATTTACTTTTTTTCTATGGTTTCTACCTATGGCATAATTGTTATTTATTTATTTGCGATTTATTTCTGTTTTCTTTGCTTTTCGGATGAAGATCCAAACCTTGTTTTTGGGTCTTTTGCATCTGTTATAGTTTTTCCGGATCACTATCTTTGAATTTTTTACCGATGAACTGTTCCTTAAATGGGTGTGTAAGAAATATTCCTATAATGTTTTCCATGTGTTATGTTTTATTTTTTAAATCTATAAGTGACAATTTAAAAACTTAGAGCCCAATGAACTTTAGTAGTGGGTTAGGCACATCCATTATGGATTGAGGTGCAAAATTAAGTTAAAGAAAGAATCCCTAGTCTAGCCATATAAATAGTAAGTAAAGCTCGTGTTTTCCATCAACACACAAAACCCTAAAGTATTGGCATAGACTAGAAGGCTTTCTCTTCTTGACGGCTCCAGTTTTCTTTCAATAATATCTTGAGCATTTAATCAATCATGACGGGAGGTATGTATCTTATTAATTTTCATCGAACTTATATGCTTAGGCATATTTAATTATCTAATTTATGGTATCGAGTCGAGTTCTTGCTATATTGATTAATGTTAATAGAAATCTATTAATTATATTTATTGAGGATATACTATGATTTTTTACGAAAAGATCATATATTTTGGTATGGTTATTTAATTGAAATCTTTAAATCAAAGGTATATATATAGCATACGGATGTAGATGTATATGCATATGCACATGTAAAAAGAACAAAGTTGATGTAAAAAGTATTATGTCCCTCTGGTATGGATTTTTATCAATATGTTTAGATTTTTCTTTCCCTCTCCCTCCGGTGCGAATTTGGCGGGGTGTCATGCCTAGTTTGTATATATATATAAGACATGAATTATATATATATATATCACGTCCTTGTGTACTTTCTCAGTACACTTGCTTTCATTTGATTTCAAACGTTTTTCTCTCTTTCTGCAACTTGGAGGAGAGGCACACACAGTATGTGTCCAGCTAAAGTACAAAACTTAGTCATGTCAAATTTCATCTCATATGTATCACGTACATATTGTACACATTGTCCAACATTGTTTCTTTTTATTAGATTAAAATAATAATAATAAGCTAACATGGCATACGCATGTATGCATAAGGAATGGCCATATGTTATATTTTAATAATATTTTATTATCAATTCGAGTTATACATAGTGTATTGTATATCAATTTAAGAAAACATGATTATTTAGGTATATCAATATAAATTTTTCAATTGATATTAAAGCAATGTTATGTTGAGATGATGATGTCAATTAACTTAGAAATAGCCACAACATCTTAAGTTATTTTGATGATCACATTAAAGTTTTTAGATTAATATGCTTATAAAGTACATAGCTTAATTTGTAATTATTTTATAAAAATAATGACTTGGCCCTATAGAGAGGCTACTATTTTTATAATTTAATTGGAATAAGATTATAGATTGACATTAAGAATGGATTTTATTCTAGGCCCTCGAGTGTGAATATTTTTTATTCTTGATATTTTCTCTATTAGTCTTATTACTCAAGAATTAGTGAATTCTATGCATGATGCAACCTCTACCCACGGGAAGGTTAGAATTTACTATTAAATTGACATTGGTTAGTTTAAATAAAGTATGTTTTTTCATAGTATTAAAGTGTTTTCTTGGTTATTACAGACTTGTCCTACTCGCTTTTATTGATAAATCTAGTATTCTAATGCTATGTGGTGATAATTTTGCTAATTGGAAAGAAAATATTCTTTTTGCATTGGAGTGTGTGGATTTGGATTTGGCCTTACGTGTGGATGAACCACCCATCCCCATAGATTCAAGTGATGCATAGGAAAAGACTAATTATGAGCGATGGGAGAGATCTAATCGCTTAACTTTAATGCTCATAAAGTCTCGCATAAATAAGAGTATTAGGGGTTCAATCCCCGAATGCTCTAAAGCAAAAGATTTCCTAAAGGCCATAGAGGAACAATTTCTTCATTCGATAAGGCATTAGCCAACACTCTAATGAAAAAGCTTTTTGACAAGACATTTGACTATTCTAAAGGTATGCATGAGCACATTATGGAATTGACGGACACTGCTTGCTCAATTAAAGTCCTTGGAGGTAAAGATTTATGAGTCATTCTTGGTGTATTCATTTTGAACTCTCTTTCTGCGACATATGATCCGTTTAAGATTTTTTACAACACACATAAGAAAAAATGATCAATTAATGAATTATTGACCTTGTGTGTTCAAGAAGAAGGGGATTGAAACTTGAGAAACTTGAAAGTGCTTATTTGGTTTCTCAAGCTAAGAAAAATTCCAAGAAGGGTAACAATGTTCTAAAAGTGAAGAAACATGAAAATATGCCTATAAAGCAAAATGAAAATAATAGTAAATATTTCTTCGTAAGAAATGGGAACATGTTAAGAAAGATTGCCCTAAGTATCAAAAGTGGCTTGTGAAGAAAGGTAAACTCTTCTCTTTAGTGTGAACAAGTTGAAATATACAAACTTTACTTCATTAAACTCTATGTTTATATGGTATTAGAGCTCCATTAAGCTCCAACGAACCGGATCCAACGAAGCAAACCATGGAAGACACCTCATCCTCTAACCAAAATAACCAACCACGAACCAACTTCACTTCAAGCATGGTAACCCAAATAACACCATCTCTTCCTAACCCGATCAACTTCAATGCAAGCAGCTCAACTTCCTTTTAAACTCACTAGCAAGTAGCACCTATCCAACATGGAGGGCACAACTTACTACCCCGTTACTTGGGTATGATCTCATGAACTACATGGATGGATCATACCCATGCCCAGCTAGCACCATTCAACATAAAGGTCACACCATAGCCAATCCTTAATTTAAACAAGGATGGAGGTAAGATAACTTTCTAAGAAATGCCATCTTGTCTTCCGTTGATGCCACCATTGCACCCTTAGTTGCAGCAACGTCTACCTCCAAACTCACATGGGACAATATATCAACAACTTATGCAAATAAGTCTCAAACTAGAATCTATGGTTTAAGAGCGAGCCCGGCCAAAATAGTTAAAGATACCAAACCTATAACCGATTATCTAAGGGAGATAAAGATAATTACGGATGAACTAGCCATAGCTGGCTCCCCACTCAAAGAATGATGAACTAGTAATAAAGATTCTTAGTGGACTTGGATCCGATTACAAAGCAATCGGTGCAACTATCCATGCTCGAGGTATTCCTATCACCTATGAAGAGTACGTTTGACAAGCTCACCGATCACAAAATCTTTCCGATATATGATGAGGTCAAGAAAGATCCCACCCTTATCACCGCCCAATTTCATCGGCGTAGCTACTTCAATAGACCTCGTTGAGGTAGCAACCATAATAACCCGACCTCCTACACCATGTCCAGGGGCATTCATCATGACACCGACAACTCATCACACTATTTACAATCAAAGTATTCCTCATTAGATCATCGTAACTCCCATTGGTAGTCTCCTTCTCTCCAAGCAAATAAACACAAGGCGCGAGTTCCAAATATGTGATAGATATGGGCACATTGCCAAAACTTATAGGTCACGCTTCTTCGACCCCCAAGTTAACTTCACGGGATGCACCTCAATGCTCACTCGAAAGTAACCGGGTTTTGGACTCGTGTGCCTTCCATCACATAACCTCGGATATTCAAAACATGTCCGTTCACTCGAGTACAATGGCGGTGATGATATCATTGTTGGAGATGGTAACGACATTCCTATTTCTCATACGGGTTACGTTAAGCTTGCTACCTCCATTCACTCTTTTACACCGCAAAATGTTCTATGTGCTCTTAAAATCTAACGTAATTTATCGTCGTATCTCGGCTTTGTAATTCCAATAAAACCTCTATTGAATTCTTTCCATCCTTTTTTGTTATGAAGGACTTGACCACGGGGCGAGTGCTCGTTCGAGGCTGAGAGTAAAGGACATCTCCGTGAATGGACAAGTGCACAAAAATCATCTTCCATTCTAGTTTCTTTCGCAAGCCACATACACACATACTCACCGTGGCATCAACGTCTTCGCCATCTAAACGCTCGCACTCTTCGACAAGTTCTCACTCGCTCATCATCTTCCATTCTCAAAATCTTCAATTTCTAATTTTTGCAATTCCCGCCTTTGTAATAAAAGTCACAAACTACCATTTGGTGTTTCATCTTTAACAAGCTTCGGACCACTTGAACTAATCTATACGGATGTTTGGGGTCTCGCTCCAATTACTTCCCGTGATGACTTTTGTTATTATGTAATCTTTGTAGATCATTACACGAAGTATATTAGGTTATATCCACTCAAACGAAAATCGAAGTTACTCCAGCTTTTGAAAAGTTCAAATTACTCGTGGAAAAATACTTTCATCTACCCATTATTACAAGTATACTCGGATGGAGATGGTGAGTACCTTGGACTCACTCACTTCCTCTCAACTAATGGGATTCAACATCTTTTCTCTCCACGCTATACACCATAATATGTTAGAGTTGTTGAACATCGTCACGGATATATCCTAGAAACAACACTCACTCTCTTTCATCACTCCTTCACACCACTATAATTTTGGACATATGCATGTCGATCGCAAGTATACTTTATAAACAAAATGCCCACTCCCAATTGTCCAAACACATCACCATTTGCATCTCTATGTCACACCTCTTCTAATTATCACAACCTTCGTGTCTTCGGCTACCTATGTTATCCATGGCTTAAACCTCATCGGAATCACAAACTTGAACCCAAATCTAACCCATGTGTCTTCCTTGGCTATTCCAAATCCCACTACCGTTACCAATGCTTAGACCCTATAACTTGTCGCATCTATCTATCTCAACATGTGATCTTCATTGAAGACACATTTCCTTTCCAAACTCACCCCTCCCATGCAATTCGTGTAACTCCATCTCAAATATCTAGTTGGATGAATGTATCTCCATGCCATGACGTACCACCTAAGCCTAACCCGATCAATCGGACTATTCATGATTCTACTATTCTAATTCCTAGTCATGTACCCGTATCCAAGTGAACTTTCCGCTCTAAGCAACCACAAGCTTCATGTCCAATACCGAGGCCTCTACGAGTGCTCACCATGGTCTCACTCCTTCAACATCAATTAGTTCTCCCATTCACCCAAGACCCTCAAGTATTATCACTAGATCAAAAAATCATATATTTAAATCCAAAGTTATATTTGATTATCTTGCAATGACTATTGATACTACTCCTTTCACTTTTGCACAAACTCAAAAACATCCTCAATGGCGCATAGCTATGAGCACATAATTTGATGCCTTAGTTCATAATCAAACATGGGATCCGGATCTTGTTCCCCCGACTCATCACAAAATCCGGTGGGATACAAGTGGATATACGGAATTAAACGCAAGCCCGATGGAACCATTGATCGATATAAAGCTCGGTTAGTTGCACGAAGGTTTAAACAATAACATGGAGTGGATTTTTTTAAAATTTACAGATCCAGCTTATCAAGCCCACCACAAGTACAATTGATATTGGCTCTTGCTATCCAACAACACCGCCTATTGCGTCGACTTGACATAAATAATGCCTTCCTCCAAGGCAGCCTCGAGGAATGTGTGTTTATGAAGCAATCACCTAGATTATCACACCCATAATTTCTAAATCATGTATGTCGACTTCGTAAGGGCATTTATGGCCTCAAGCAAGCACCAAGGGCATGGTACCATGAACTCGTAACATTTCTTCTCTTATATGGTTTCCAAAACTCTCATTCAGATGCCTCACTGTTCATATTTTCCAAAGGAAGTACACGTATATTTCTGCTAGTACATGTGGATGATATTATACTCACAGAAACTCTTCCATTGTAGTTGAAAAGGTAGTTCATGCTCTCACTACTCGATTTTCCCTCGAGGACCTTAGGGATCTCAATTTATTTCTTGGCATTGAAGTTATAAGAAACAAACAAGGTTTGTTCTTATCACATCAGAAATACATTATCGATTCGTTACACAAGCATAACATGCTTGAAGTAAAGGGTGTTCATAGCCCAATATCCACGATAGAAAAATTAGCTGCTACAAGTGACCAACCTCCTACCGATGCCAAACAATTTCGTGTGATAATTGGAGCTCTCCAATACCTCTCCCTTACATGTCCCGACATTTGTTATATAGTGAACAAACTCTCTCAATTCATGTATAATCCTCGTGCCTCTCACCTGGACAACATGCAAAAAAGTGCTTCGCTACCTCAAACAGATTGTCTCCTTTGGTCTCCATCTTCAAGCTTCCTCATCACTAGCTCTTAAGGCTTACTCGGATGCCGATCGGGCGGAGATCTCAATGATAAAACATCAACTTCAGCATATGTTGTGTTTTTATGAGCCAACCCCATCAGTTGGTGCTCTAAGAAACAAAGGACAATAGCTTGCTCATCAACTGAAGTCGAGTATCGTGCTATTGTAGCTTCGGTAGCTAAGCTCAACTCGGATCACAAACTTACTCGGTGAACTTCACTTACCTCTCGGTTCAGTTCCCACGGTGTTTTATGACAACATTAGCACTATGTACCTATGTAAAAACCCAGTCTTCCACGAGCAGGATGAAGCACATCAATTTGGACTTTCACTTTGTTCGTGTTCAAGTACAAGCTAACACTTTGAATGTTATCCATGTTGTCTCTCAAGACTAACTTTCGACTCCTTAACAAAGAAGCTTGCATAAAGATCATAGGCACAAGCTCGTCCGTAGTTGACACCACGATCGACTTGCAGGGGCATATCAAGGATACCGGTAGAGACCATGATCAAATACAACTCTCTGTACATAAAATATAGGGATAAACTTTAGCTTAAAAAATTAAGCTTATCTAGCAGAGTGTTCTATGTAAACATCTTAGCTAAGGATTACCTTGCATTGTAATTATCCTGCAGCCTATAGCTCCTATACATATAGAGTTGCAGTACATGCAATCGAAACATGCTAAAATATACAAACTTTGCATCATTAAACTCCGTGTTTATACTCATCTCATGATTCCGGTAGGTACTCGTTGCTAAAAGTCATAGACAATGCCGAAGAGTTTTGCTTTTGGTTTCGCCGCTACTCACTTCAAGCATTTTCCATATGGCATACAAATCCCGGAGTAAGCCACTCGGTCCTTCTCCTTTCGAGACACCTTTGTACGTTCCTCACAATAAGTTGGTTCTTTTAACTAATTTGGTCGTGTACAAATTTGGAGTTCTTATATGGTTATCTCGTTAATGGGAATTATGAAAAGCTATTTCATCCCGAAATGTGTTACTATAAAAAAAAATTGGTCATGTGAAGAAATTTGGACGAGCATCGTAGAAAACTTTGCAGCAGTTGCTTCAAGATTTGTTTATGCTTCCTCGCATTCTTAGCAACTTTTTATGGCATACAAAGATTAAATCACCTGGGAAAGCGTACTACCTAGGGATTACCTTGGTAAGGCTTATTTTGCATCTTTATAGCTATATCGGAGATCCTATTCTAGAATCCAAATTTAAAGATTTGAACCCGAGAGCCTGGATGATACTTCGTAGAGTTTAGCAAGCTTGCGGCTATAATAATAATGGTTGTGCTATCAACAATAGACCACATCCCGTAGAATTGGAAGAAGCTAATAAGCTAGTCCCTGGAGTTAAAGAAAGTTTTCCGATGACTTAGACGAAGAAAACTCGGATATAATTACTCTAGAATTGTAATCTCGTTCATTATCATGTTACTCGCTCCACAAGCTAATTTGAAAACCTATGAGAAAAGACCTTTTTTTTTAGTGGAATTCTTTTTTTCCTAATCCAATCCCATATGCTAATATTATGTACTTCTTTTGTCCGTTAAAAAAAAAAAGACTCCAATTGCACAAAATATATGGTTAATAATATTGAACATATCATGAGATTTTTCTTATTGGAAAGTTCGGAATTTTTTTTTTTACATGTTTTAGATGAGAGAAATAATTGTTTTTATGTTTTCATATGCGGGTGGATGGATTTATACTTCAATTAAAAAAAACTACAAGAATGTTGAACAAACAGGGATCACAATCTACAATGACATCATAGTATGCAGTTTTAAATATTTTTTGAATAATATATTATTGTTTTTTCCATTATAATTTATCGACAATCAAGACCGTCCACGTGCCAAAGCTACTGGTTTGACCAAATTGACGTGACCAAGACATTTCCTTCAAAAGCGATGTTAGAGATGGAATAGGTCAAGATTATTACCTTTAAATAATCGAACAGTAACCAGCAAGCTTTCATAGCTCAGTTGGTTAGAGCACCCGTTTAGTAAGCGGGAGGTCTTGAGTTCAACTCTCAATGAAAGCAGAATAGCATTATAAGTATTATTTTTTTTTCGCCTTATCCACGACTCATTTATTTCTCCATGATCATAACATGATGATGATCAACAAGATTACAATTCTGGAGTAGAAATATCTCAATCTTCTTCGTCTAAATTACCGGACAACTTCTTTAATTCCAAGGACTGGATTAGCTTCTTCCAATTCTGCTGGATATGGACTATTGCTGCTACTACAATCATTGTCATTACAACTGCAGACTTGCTAGAAGTAACATCAGGGTTCACAAATTCAGAATCTTGGAACTTGGAGTCTTGAATAGGATTGCTGATATATTGGTGAAGATGCTGAACAAGCCTAATCAAGGTAAGCCCAATGTAGTATGCTTTGTGCAGTGATTTAGCATTTGTTTGCTACAAGAAGTTGCTGAGAATCTGAGGAAGCAGAAAGAAATCTTGAACCACTCCTGCAAAATATTCTAGGATGCTTATCCAAATTCGTTGCCCATGAATAGCACCTGTCATATGGCTACCATTATCAGGATGAAACAGCATGTCTCGATGCCCATGAACAGATAGCCATATAAGAACAAATATGTGTACAGCCAAAGTACTTAGAAGAACCATCTTATTGTGAGGAACCCAAAGACGGTTCATCTAGCGTGTACTGATCAATGGCTTGTTCTGAGATTTGTATACCATCAGGAAAATCCTTGAAGCGAGTAGCAAAGAAACCAGAGCAAGAAATCTTCTAGCATAGTCGAGGACTTTCGGCAGCAGCCCATTCCTACCAAGATTATAATATGAAGCTTGAAGAGAGTTTCAGCACCACTGACCAATGGAAGGCTATAACCATTAACCAAGAACCTGAAGAGCAAGCATGACAAGAGACACATAAGGAACAATATGTTTTTGTTCCTTTATAAAGTGCAGTTGGATCCACGTCATTGCAATTACACCACAAACCAACAGAATTGGAAGAATCCCTTCAAATTGATAGGCCACAGTCAATGTATGGTCTTGATAACGAGTCTCACGAGCTGGCAAGCTAACAGGGCCAAAATATAGAGGATCGTCTTGACCCCTATGATAGAAAGAGTGTTCTTGATAACGATTCTCACGGGTCCGCAAGATAACAGGGCCAAATTACAGTAGATCTTCTTGATCCCTTTGGCTGGTGATGGTGATTTTGGTATGTTCCATATTTTCAGAGGGGTACTGAATTTCAACCTTAATCAAACAATCGAGGCCCCGTTCTATACCAGTTCCTCCAGTTACAACCTTTCTGCAACCAATAAGATGCATCTCACCAATAGCCGGTTCATATATACCTTCCAAGAACATCTGTGAGATATTCTTATAAGATATCATGGAAAATTCTTGAGTTGCTTCTTTAAATTTTCTGAAAATAAGATGTGTTGAGACATTCAGAAGCTGCCTGTTAATGAAGGTGACGTTAGCTGTTGTATTGACTGAGACCTCCTTTGAACCATCTTCGTCGAATCGTCCAATTAGTGAACCTAGAGAAAGTACCTCCATACGAATGGAGATACTTGTATCACGACCATCAGGTGGTTGATCTGTGGCAATACAGCCATCAACGAGGAGCTCATTGGAGAGAGAATCAAGCTGAGCTACTGATTCCGCTCCTTTTAGAGCGGGATACCTCAACAGAGAATGGTTGAGGGTGGTGAAATACTGAGTTTTCCTTTTAAAGAGACTAGCCAGACGAAGCTTTGAGTAATTGTATGACAAGTAATGGGTGTTATACGAATTGAATGGGTCCTTCAAATATGAGGGTTGCATCACTAAATCAAAAAGAAGACGATAGTTAGAGCTGACTTCATCTCTTTTGTCAGATATGCTGCCAAACACTAAACTCCTCTGCTTGATCGACAATGCACGAGGAAAATATAGTGATATCCATAAAAAGCATCTTTTGAATTCTGAATGAGCTCCAGTAGGACAGCTTAGCATGCAAAGTTGCCCGCTTGAAGGATTCCACCTCCCCTCAGCATTGAAAACCAAGCCTGAAAGACCAGTCAATGTTCGGGCTACATTTGGATCCATTTCTGCAGGAATCACTCTCAGCACCGCTGAAGCCTCTGCACCATTACTGTCATATGAAGTTGCTTGAATGCATGTTGCAATATGAGCTTGATATGTTTGCAACTCAAATTTACATCCCCAATTTCCCTTCCAAACAAGACTGATGTCAATTTGTTGTCCAAATAACTTCCACTGAATTTATAATCTGGAAAAACACTCAGAGCTTGCCACGAAACATGATCGAGAATAGTACAGAAGTCTGACCAAGTAAATTTCTGGACCCCATCTTCCATCACCTCATCATGATAATATAGATATGGCTCACAAGTTGTTGAAGCCAGCACCTTCGAGCTAAATTGATACATTGATTGATGGCTCAACTGAGAAGATATGTACACTGTATCAAAGTACTTAGGACTCGCTTTTTCGTTTAGGCTTTGCATTTCTCCATGGATTTCTCTATTTGTCAGACTGAAGGTCATTGGATAGTGAAGGACTAGTAAGATTTGATCAGTTTGTAGACCAAAGCCATCTGCAACATCTGAAGGAACATCAATTCTTATGCCAGAAGTGAGTGTTGACTTTCCCAGCAAACACAAGTGGCGTTCCCCTCCATTTTGCTCAGTCTCGGTATAAACCCCCTCGAAGGCAAGTGTAAGGGCAGATGTACCAGGTCTAATAAAATTTGGCGATGGGTTGAAACCTTGAGCAAACGAGCTCTCTCTGGATATGCCTATTACCAAATATCCTCCGACACTAACTGTGTTTTGAAAATGCTGGACAGAACTAACATTCTTGACCTGAAAAGACACCAATTTCAAGGCAGTAGGAAGAGAAATACTGCTAGTTTGCAAGTCACTGTCAGAAAATGGCATCAATGGCATTCCACCAGTTTTCTGCTCCCAATCTCCATTTTTGAAAGAGAGCTGACCCATAAGTCTGTACTTTGTATCTTCATCAGGTTTCAGCTCAGAAGCTGAGGACAGGAAAGAGCTGCATTGCTTTTCAACTTCAGATAATCTGTTGTAAGTGAAAGCTGCCGAAGGATCACTCAACGTAAGGTACACATCATCATCAGGAAGTGCAAAACCAGTGATCATGAAAAACTCTAACAGAGCCGAAAGACCCAAAAGCAAAGTTTGGATCTTCATCTAAAAAGAAAAGAAAACAGAAATCAAATTGCAAACAAATTAAATAACAACCATGCCCTATCTAGAAATCATTAAAAAAAAAGTAAATAGCAAGAGTAATAAAGAATTGAAGTCACAAAATAAGCTGAGTTTCTTCATTTTTTTCTTTCGCTTGATCTGAAGGACTACCCTGAAGGAGAAGGCTGAGGAATGCCCTTAACCGCAGAATTTGGTAATGGGGCAGTAGCAGTATGATTGAGATGTTTGATAAGATAGTCAAAATAGAGCAAAACTAGTGGTAGCCAGTAGCAAAGGCCAATCCAGTTCCGTTGACAATGGCAAAGTTTATATCTTCTTCTGGGAAATAAGCCTTAAAAAAATGGGGATGCAAAGTAAAATTGCCCCATAAAACGCAGGTTAATTTTTATGCTCTCTGAAACTAAAAAAGTAAATTACGAGACAGCAGACTCAGTAATACGTACAAGCTTTCATAGCTCAGTTGGTTAGAGCACCCGTTTAGTAAGCGGGAGGTCTTGAGTTCGACTCTCAATGAAAGCAGGAACTACTGAATTTTCTTTACACTTTTTTCTTTGCATGTTCACCCATAAAACCTTGCGCTTTCTGGAAGTCCCTGTTAAAAAGCTCCTCTTCAAACTTAATTTATCATTTCTTCTATCCTCCACTTATCAAGATGCATCTTCAATCTGTTTATCGTAATGAATGATGAAGTTACATCCAGGACAAATTGGCAACACGAGCAGCTGGAATTCTCCTCAGATGCCTAGAAAATGTTTGAATTAGAGGTGCTGCGAATGTTTTATTTTATTTTTATTTTTTAACTTCAAGCGGCTAAGGCAGAAAAACTTCTTATTTATTCATCCATCAAGAAATATAGCACAGATCAAATTCGATCAATGAATGGTTAATCCTGCCAGATAGTTGGCAGATTCAAGACATTTTTTTCAATTCATTTCTGCCATTAGCCAGTTTCTTCACAGTTCCCCACACGATTTAGAATTTCAGACACCACCACCAAGTCCCATGCGTGGCACAGCCTTCTCTTCCTAATTACAGAAAGTTGCTAGGGTGGGACCTCGAATGAAAAGGTTCGGGTGCACCTCGTCATATTCTCCTTCCCCAGAAAAAGGCAACCAAGGGTTCACATAATGTCACTCCAAACATCGTAAAAGGAAATTCAAAGCATGACAAAAACATATGTAGAGAGTGAACTCACAACCAAGATTTTTAATCCTCAAAAGGTTTCGACTAACAATATGTCAAAACTTAAACCTATATAATATTAACCCAGCTGGAGGGGAAAGGAACTAGATGTAGCGCATAAACAATTAATTAATACAACTTAACTATCTGATTACCATACCTTCCTCTGATTGCACCAATACAGACTAATTTGGCAGGTGATACATAGGCTAGAAAACAGATAATTATCGAAACAAGAAACAAAAGAACTACTCGTATCCTCATTAAACAAATTAAAATTCCCTCAATCAGGTCTCCTCTAGCAATACAAACTCTTAATATTGCTCGGTTCATTTTGTTATTTCCCCCAAACTAGTCTGCACCACACTACCATCTTTGTCATCCCCGCCCTTAGCAGACTTCAGCCTATCAATGCTATCACAATCAAACTCAATCCAACTTAATCCATCCTGGCCCCTAGTTACATTAGAAACCATAACTTACTCATCCAAAGGCATGATCTTCCCCGTAAGAAACAGATCTTCGACTTTTATTTTTATGGATGGCGGATGGTAAAATATGAAACTTTATTGAGAAAGTAGGGGTAAGAAGTGGAGCCAGAAAAACATGATAACGCTAGAGCAACAAAGCTTTTCAAATGATTTGCGCATCTGCTCAAGAGACATCTCTAAAAACAGTTGTGGCAAAACACCATAAGAAGCCAGAAAAAAATGGCAGCTGCATGTCCTTAAATATTCTAGAGTTCCTCTCACACCATACACACCAAATCATTGGCAAAAAAAATTATACATCTCCAAAACACTCTTACCTCCATTAGAATTTACAAAACCCACAAACCTGAACATAAGCAATTCCAAGTTTTGTGCAAAACTAAACCCTACAAGAGACAGAAATGAAGGCTCACAAAATGTTTGAACTCCAGGAAAGTGATGCACATGCAGTAGCTCATAGGTGTAGGCCTAAACTACCATAAGTTAGACAAATTTCCAACAAGAGCTGGCTATTTTATGTGAGAAGGTTAGTGCAATATTCTCACATTTAGGTAAAGCCCAATTATAAAAGAAATCGATGAAACCCACATGAATGTGAGAATAAAGGGAGCGTGTACGCGAAATATTGAATAACTCTTCCCCAATAACTACATGTTGAAAAAATGAAGCTAGGATTTACTATCCAGTTTTAAGAAAGTGGCACTTTAAATTAATCTATTTCTGTCAACGTTAATTAAATAAAATTAAATAATGATCCTGGCTGATCAAGAAGAAAACCTAGCACACTGCACACTTATTTGAATTTAATACATCTTTTTCCCTACTTACCTAAATACTTACACTATGCTTTCGCTAGTATTAGACAAAGTTTCAAACCAAAGTTAGATAAAAATTGTAGACCTCTTGCTCAATAATCTAATGTTGACTTGGTAAATGTTTTATTAATCCAACTTTCTTATCATTGCTCTTTCTGAATCTATGCAGCTGATTTTGGCTCTCTGATTTCAGCAATAAAAAGAACCCATTAAACAAATTATGAAATCAGAATAGCCTGGAATTTAACACCAACACCTGTAGGAAAGTTATGCAAAAAAGAAAAAAAAAATTACATAGCAGTTCCGATTGGAGGCATGCAAACAAGTGAATACAAGGGTATATTAGTCCCAACGTATCTACAGTCTAACCAAACCAACCTTTCTTCTAGTTTACACCCATGACCTTAGTAGAATTCAGCTCAATAATGGCATCACTATTGAACTTAATCCAACCAGATCATCAATTAAACTACAAACCATACAACAGAAATATGTCAACAACACTTCTCTTATGCAACAAGTTAAGATGAAAAACACATTGTACATAGCAAGTTTGATTTGGAATCAAACAATCAAGGTAAATACAAGAAAATACTAGTCTCAACATGTCAATACTTTAAGTTTATTAAGAAGGAACTGTATGCAAATTAACTAGGAAGAACAAAGAATCACCTCATAAAGGAGGCAATTGCCCTCATACACCTTCAAAAATTAGTTCCTACCAAGTGGAAGGGATCTACAACTATATGTCTCCTTGAATATTTTCTTCTGTGATGAAGTAAATATGGATGCATATACCTCCTTAGTGGCATTAGCTGGCACCACATCTGCAGCCTTAAACCGCTTCACTGAACCACCATTACTAACCCCTTTCACATTCTCAACCTTCCCACCATTTCCTTTCACTTTCCCAACAATCTTATCCACTCCCTGAACATCAACAATCCCATGTTTTTTACCACTCAACTGCGAGACCTCCACGCCCTGACCTGCAAACTCCTCTCCATTAGCCCCTACTTCCCCATTCTTCACTTTCTTCGTTTTCTTCTCCTTCACTTTCGATCTCTCCTCCTCCATTCTCTCCCTCAGAACAGCCACCTCTTCCTCACTCCCATTTATCACAATCTTATCACACTCTTCATACTCCTTATAACAAACCAAACACGCTGACGACTTCACCTCTTTCAATGCCTTAGCACTCAAAACATGCCCACAATTCTTTAAAGAAAAAAATTTATTCTTCCCATTAAACTCTAACCCCGATACAGGACATTGAAACCGAGCATTATCCGACCCCTCACCTGGAACCACCTCCAACTGTATATTAATCATATCTTTCAAACCCTTTATATAACCGAACTCTTTAGGCAACTTTTTACCAATCAATGCCTCAACTAAAGCTTCCTTATTAAACATATTACCGAGTCGATCAATTACGCAAGGCTGCGTCAAGGGCTCATTCGAAAGGGAGCAATTAAGCCATTTCGACAGTCGCTGCTCATGTGGATCCACTTTATCAGGCTTCTTTTCAGCATACATATTGAGGTAGCAGTCCCTGGATTCTGCCCCCGTAGCACCGCCATCGCCACCACCGCCAGAGAGCCGAGTCTGTAAAATCAGGGTGGAGAGAGGGGCAATTTGGGGATTTGGTAAAAAAGTGGAGTCTTTTAAAGGTTTTCCATTGAGGGTGAAGTAGAAAGAAGAGGAGTTTTCCTTGTTGGGCAAAAGAGAGAGCTTGAGATTGTGGAGGGTTAGGGTTTGAGTTGGGTCTAGAGTTAGGGTTTGTGTTTTGAATTGGGAGTTTTGGGATTGGATGAAAACCTGATGGCTTTTTGTGTGCATTTTGCAGATGAAGTGACTAGGGATTGTGGGATTTTCTAGGGTTTTGATTTTGATGATTTGGGATCTTTTGAGGTTTTGGGAAGAGGGGGAGATTTGATAGAGAGAGGCCAATTGGGGATTTTATTCGGTAACGGGAGTCACCGACTAGATTGTCGTCGTGAGATATAATGACATGTCGTTTAAGATCTGTTGTCTTCAAGGTTGGATTTGACGGGCTGCCTTTTATTGGGCCTACGTACTGGACTTATTTGGTTTTGTTTTCAATGGGCTCTCTACCATTTCTTTTCCTTCTCCAAAACAATCCAAATATAGGATGATTTTAAATTGGGTCCATCCCTTCTATCGATCGCTTAATTCCTAGGATTTTTTTTTTTTTTTTGATAAATCAAACCTATTTGACTTTGGAACTTGTGATAAATAAATCCCAATTTCTATGGTAACTTGAAGGCATTATAATTATAGTTCTTTCATGTTATAAATTATTAAATATTTTTATTTATTGTATTGTAGCTCTTCTATCATAAAGAGAGAATGTTTTCTTTTTTATTTATATGTGTCTCAAAAATATTTATCTAGTCAAAATTTTAAATAATATATTTTTTTAAAATACTCTTAATTAGTAATGAAAATAAATTTTTCTTTCATTTCATTTTTTTACTAACAAAACAATCAATATCCTTTAAATTGTTTTCTTATACATATAAATACATTTAATATAAAAATTTCAATTTTTTTTTATTACATGAAAAATATTCATCTTTACAGGGGTTCTACTGCATGTCAAAATTTTGAGTGCAAAATATTTCTATTAGTTTATTATTTTTTCATAATTGTTTTAAATTTGATTGTTAATTAATTTAATGATTATTTATTTACTTACTTACTATCTTAGATTTGTATAGGTTTTCTACTTAAATTAATATTGATTTCATGTAATGTATGATAATAACTAACAAATGCAACAAAAAGATTATTTTAAGAAAGTTTGAAAAAAAATACTAACATGTCATAACAATTAATAATTTTTTTAAACTATATTAAAAGTCAAAAGGAACTATCTCTTTGAAATAGAAGGAGTGATAATTTATATTATTGCTTAATTATCTCATAATTATGCAAGTTACTAATATTATTATACAATTATTACTCAAAAGGAGCATTATTATCTTAAATATATATATATTATTAAAAAAATATCATATTATTTCGTAATTTAGCTAACTGCTCTGTAATTATGGTAGTTATGCATAATTAAACTACCATAATTAAATATAATTTCAATAAAAAAATGTTTCTTGTTGCTTTAAGGAAGGAAAAAGTACTATTTAATTGTAAAACAACAATTATTCTTACGTGATTTCAAAATAATAAGTATTTACATTTATTGTATCGTAACCACAAAAGTCCCATAAATAAATAAAAAATTTAAAATTAAAAGTTTTATTAAAAAGAAATGAAATATTTTCATGTTTATATGGGCAAATTGCGTTTTAGTGACACGATTTATTAGAACATAACTGTTGTGTTTATCAGTAGCCATGAAAAACACCAACTAATTAGGGATAGCATTCTTCCTTACCAATACTATTCTTTCTTTCTTTCTTTTTATTTATCAGAAACTAGTTTTATATGTATATAGACATTCACTTTTCTTTTCTTTTTTTCCTAATTTCATGAGATAAATGTTTGGAAGTATAAATTATTTCAAGACAAAGAGATGATAATTTTGGGTTGAGAAATATGGATCCCCACAAATAATTCCATCTCGTTGGTAGCTAGTGGCGGGACAGGCAGCCTCTTTAGTGTCAACTAGCTGGTTACCCATGCTATGCTGCGAATCTAGTAGAACAAAATCATTTTAAAATTTTAAAATTTTTTAATTATGATTTTTATTGAATTAATTTTTTCTATAAACTTTTTCTTTAAACAAACATAAATCATTTTTCTTTATGAATTGATTTTAACTAAAATATTAAACGAGAATTAAAAAAAATTAAAAATATATTTTTCATAATATTGTACTACAAAAAATAAAATTATAATTAATGGATAGACTTTTATAAAAATTAATAGATGAAAACGAAATTTCTTTTAATGCCGATGAGAAGATTAATTTTTGAAATTATCCACGCAACGCTGTAGGTAGATAGAACAAAATCATTTCAAAATTTTATAATTTTTTCATTAATTTTTCATTTAATTATTAATATTTTTTATGTTTTCATAACTTTTTAAAAAATTCTAAGAATTCATGATATATATTATATCAATTTTTTTTTAAAAAAAACAATCATGTTTTAAGATTTTATTCTAAAATTCAAACATAGAGTAAAATAAAGTATATTTATTAGTAAATAAAATTATATATAAAAATATTAATTGGATGAGAATTTTCATTAAAAAAATTTAAATAATGAAATTTAAATAATAAAAGTAATATAAGCTGAAATAAGTGTTAATTTTAAAAAATAAAAAGATAATATATATAATCATCAGTTTGTGTAGAAAAAAATGACGATTAATTTTTAAAAATTTTAACACCTAATTAAATAAAAAAAGAACATAAATTGATGAAAAAAAGAAAAAGAAAAAAGAAAAAGAAAAAGAAAAAGAAAAGGCATGTAGTGCATGTGCTAGGGATTAAAACTTTAATTTTAAAACTTTAGGGATCGAAATAAAATAATTTTAAAATTATAAAAAAAAATACCTAAGAGTGAATAGTACATTATGAGGGTAACACCCAATTAAATAATAAAAAAAAGAACAAAAAATGATGGAAAAAAGCAAAGGAAAAAAAGCCAAAAAAAAAAAAGGCATGTAGTGCATCAATTGTGGATTAAAATTTGAAGGACCAAAACAAAATTACAAAAAAAATACCTAAGAGTGAATAGTACATTATGAGGGTAACACCCAATTAAATAATTAAAAAAAGCGTAAAATGATGAAAAAAAGCAAAGGAAAAAAAGCCAAAGAAAAAAAGAAAAGAAAAGGCATGTAGTGCATCAATTGGGTATTAAAATTTGAAAGACAAAAAATAAAAATAAAAATAATAATAATAAACATGAGGAAACAAGTACTTTGTGAGGGGTGAACAGTTTTATCACCTGTTCAAAAACCCCACCTCTATAAAACTCGTTCAAAAACCCCACCTCTTTTGGTATATTAAATATATAAAAAAAACATAAATTGATGGAAAAAAGCAAAGATAAAAAGAAGAAGAAAAGGCATATAGTGCATGAGCTAGAGATTAAAACTTTAATTTTAAAATTTTAGGAATCAAAATGAAATAATTTTAAAATTACAAAAAAAAAAAAAAAAACCTAAGAGTGAATAATACATTATGAGGGTAACACCTAATTAAATAATAAAAAAAGAACATAAAATGATAGAAAAAAGCAAAGGAAAAAAAGCCAAAGAAAAAAGAAAAGAAAAGGCATGTAGTGCATCAATCGTGGATTAAAATTTGAAGGACCAAAAAAAAATTACAAAAAAAAAAAATTAATTACAAAAAAAATGCCTAAGAGTGAATAGTACATTATGAGGGTAATATCCAATTAAATAATAAAAAAATGTAAAATGAGGAAAAAAGCAAAGAAAAAAAAGCCAAAGAAAAAAAAAGAAAACACATGTAGTGCATCAATTGAGGATTAAAATTTGAAGGACAATAATAATAATAATAATAATAATAATAATAATAATAAACGATGAACGAGTACATTGTGAGGGGTGAATAGTGTTATCACCTGTTCAAAAACCCCACCTCTTTTAGTATATTAAATTAAAAAAAAGCATAAATTGATGGAAAAAATCAAAGAAGAAAAGAAGAAGAAAAGGCATGAAGTGCATGAGCTAGAGATTAAAACTTTAATTTTAAAATTTTAGGGATCAAAATGAAATAATTTTAAAATTACAATAAAAAATACCTAAGAGTGAATAATATATTATGAGGGTAACACCCAATTAAATAATAATAAAAAATAACATAAAATGATGGAAAAAAGCAAAGGAAAAAAAGCCAAAGAAAAAAAAAATAAAGGCATGTAGTGCATCAATTGTGGATTAAAATTCGAAGGACCAAAACAAAATTACAAAAAAAAATACCTCGAGTGAATAGTACATTATAAGGGTAACATCCAATTAAGTAATAATAAAAACGTAAAATGATAAAAAAAAACAAAGAAAAAAAAGCCAAAGAAAAAGAAAAAGAAAAAGCATGTAGTGCATCAATTGGGGATTAAAATTTGAAGGACAACAACAACAACAACAACAATAATAATAATAAACATAAGTGAATAATACATTATAAGGGGTGAACAGTGTTATCATTTGTTAAAAAATCCCATCTCTTTTAGTATATTAGTAATAATGCTCCACCTAAGGGATGGGACAAAGATATGAAACTAGTTTTTTTTCTTGAGACGTTGTGGAAGAGTACAAAATGGTCCTCCAGCCATCCTTCTTGTCAATTTTCAAATTTCAATGTTTCAAAATACTCCTTCTGTTAAAAAAAATAATTATTCCTTTATTTATTTATATATATCATAATATTTTTTTTTATCAAAATTCTGAATAATGTATTTAAAAAATATATTCTGAATTAATAAAAAAATCAATTAGTTCTTTCATTTTCTTTTTTTCATTAACAAAAAATCAATATTCTTTATACATACAAATACATTTAACATAAAAATTTCAAAGTGAAACTTTTATTACATGAAAAAATATTCATTCTTATAGAGATTTTACTAGATGCCAAATTTTGAAGTAAAATATTTTTATTAGTATGTTATTTTTTCTATAATTGTTTTGAATTTGAACCTTAATAAGTTTAATTTTTTATTTATTTATCACCTTAATTTTGGACGGACTTTTTTCTTAAATTAATATTGATTTTCTATCATACAAGATTAAATATGATAATTAATAATTTTAATAAAAAAAATATATTTTAAAAAAATACGAACAAAAATGCTAATTTAGCATAAATAATAATAGTTTTAAACTGTATGAAACGTTAAAATGACAATATATTTAAGACAGAGGAAGCATCTTTTGGGGATATGTACATTTAGATGTTTCAAGAATAATGGAGTTTAATTAACAAGCATTAATAAGTCTACTGATCGTAGAGAGCCTAAGGCAAACCTCTTGAGAACATGATGAATGCCCGGGTTGGAAAAGAACATCAATTCCAAAGTATCAAAAAGGACTATCGGAACATCCTCAACTCCAAACTTTCAAAAAAGAAATTAAAAAAAAAAAAAAAGGGTCTTCTGATTGGGATAATATATATCTTACACATTGATTTTTTAGCATTTTTGAGCTTAATCTGGGCACTCGCTATAACCTTGATAAAATCTCAAGCAAAGGTAGCCGCCGTGCATGCGGTTGAGAGAAACAGTGAAGAAGGTAAAGCAGTGAGAACGGAGAAGTCCATGTCAAGGGCATGGCAATCAGATTCATGAAAAGATGCAAAGTGGTCCATAAATGCATTGAAATAATAGTAATGGTGGTCATCTACTTTAGGTCGATAAGCTGTGGTGGAAATCCAAAAGGGGATGACCATCTACCACGCACCCTTCCAAGATTTGTGGTTCTACAACAACTGTTAGACCTCATGGTCCATCCTTCAACACAACAAAATCTATTCACCCACATCCTCATTTTCAACAAACTCCTTTTTGGTTTGGACTCGAGCTACTGGTCTTTTGTTTTCCATTTTGATCAAGGATGTGGTTTTAATATTATTTTCTTAAAACTCAAATAGCTTATACCTGAACGGTAGTTGTCTCTTGTAACAAGAAGTTACGAGTTTAAATCTTAATAGTACTAGTTCTGTTAGGAGCTTTAGGTATATGAATAAAAAAAAAAAAGTCATATTATTTTCTTAATATATATATATATATATATATTGAAACATGAACAACATGCAGCTATTTTGCTATATACATTATTTTCTAGAAGTAAAGTTGGAGTAGTTAGCAATATCATTGATGCTTTTTTCCAAACCTGAAGGGAGTGCCCAAGGTGCAGCTAGCCTTGCAAAAGATATGGGTGCTCTGCTATTGACATTGGCTGGACTAGATTTAAAGGTACATCGACCCATTCCGCTTTATGACAGTTTTCCAAGTTTCAAACACCCCCAAAAAAAAAAAAAAACTGCATGAAGCTTTGAGAACTCCTGGTCCAGGAAAAACTAGTAGTGCTAAAGAGCACAGTTTCTGATTCGTTACAGGTTTTAAATAGGGTAGGAGGAATTTCAGGCACATCATTTTATGTGGATTGGTGGTAGATACCGTATGGTGTGGATAAGAATTTTAGGATGAGTTCTAGATCATGTGTTACCCATCCTGATAATCAGATATAGGAGAAGGAGAATAAAAATATAGGAAGAGAGGTCATAAATGCATTTCCTCTTCACTTCTTTTTTTCGGGTTTCGGAGATGTTGTTGAGACCATCCAATAATAAATACACTAGTTTTCCAAACAAATTTTTTATGCCAATTTATTTATTAATATGTAGAATTTAGCTATTGAAATCATATTTGTTGAAAAAAATTAAATCTTATCATTTCTATTTTAAATATGATTAATTTTATATTCTATGTAGGATGAATTATAATTAGTTTTATCTCTAATGTTAAATAATAATACATACGTAAACTAAAAAGATGTTGAAAAATGATTTGAAAAATATTAATTATAATGCCATATACAGTTGTCTAATTGAGTTTACACAGCATAAAATATGTTATCATAACAAATACGATTAAAATTATTTTATTGCAAGAATAAGAATTTCAAATTACCTTATTCTTAGAAAAATAATAAAAACTTTTTATGTCAAAATAAAGTGACGGTCGTATGTGTATATATATGCACACATATATATCATCCACCAATTCAAAGACACTTGTAAATTATGGGCTATGGCATGTCGCATGACTAACAACAGAGTTCGTTCTATGGCAAAACGACATTGATTTTCTGATGTTGGTGCTATGATTTTCGTGATAAATTTAATTTTACTAATTTTTAGGGCATCCTTATGCACCTTAAAAATCGACATGGTGAACATATTTTTTAGGTTACACATGCTTTAATAATTATATTTTCAATAAATAATTGAAAAAAAAAAACAGAACAAAAGTAATTAGAGAAAAATCCAAGTGTAATTCGCAAATAAATAATCGCCCTTTGTATTGACAAAGTTGGCAATTAAATGCTCACTTGGCGCTCTATAAACCACCTAACCAGCCTATTTACTATCGGGTAGCTGCCATGCCAAAACGTGGCTCCCCTTCTCCCTATATATATACATCATCAAAACCAAACCACACATTCATCACTCTCTTACCTTCATCACTCTTTCTACAGAGGAAGAGAGAGCTCAGGGAAGAGGCCACTGCTGCCACTGAAGTTACTCCTTTAGTTACTAGCTAGTAGGAGCATTTCTGTGCTGTTTTCTTTGTTGGGGAGAAAAAAATGGCTGGGACTGGAGTGTTTTCAGAAATTTTGGATGGCGATGTGTACAAGTACTACCATGATGGGGAATGGAAGAAGTCTTCTTCCGGTAAAACTGTCGCTATTGTCAATCCAACTACAAGAAAGACTCAGTACAAGGTTCAAGGTATAGTTGATTAGATTACTCCCATGTTACTGTTCTTTTGCCAACATGCATATGCATGATCAGCACCGGGTTATAAACCTCGGCTTATTTGTTGAGGCTAGCTAAAGACGTTGTTTTTTGGAATTTTTTCTTTTTTTGGTGAGAAATTTTGCTTTTGATTAATTAATTATTTAGTGCTTGAAAGAATGTGCATGAATGCATCACATAAAAAATCACAACAATGACACTATTCCACTGTAGTCTTGCCTAATAATTTTCGGAGATAAAGAGATTCCTTCATGATGATGCATGTTTTATATTCATGCAATTATACCTCTATTTATGAATTGAGATAATGAGAACAATATCAATTTTATATATGAAAGAAACATATTCATGCAAAAGATGTACAATGAAGAATTAGGAAATTTTATCTGGGGACTATTGATATTTTTGGCTTGGTTTGAAATGATGGGGGAGAGGTGAGTACTGCTTAATTTTGTCTGATCTACCTGAAGTTTGTTTTCTTATGATCAAGATTTTTTATGGTTTTGAAACAGCTTGTACACAGGAAGAGGTAAACAAAGTGATGGAATCAGCCAAAAGCGCACAGAAAGCATGGGCTAAAACTCCTCTATGGAAGAGAGCAGAGCTCCTTCACAAGGCAGCTGCTATCCTGAAAGAGCACAAAGCCCCAATTGCTGAGTGCCTGATAAAAGAAATTGCAAAACCAGCTAAAGATTCAGTCACTGAGGTATATAATTAGTTTTCTCCATTTTCACATTTGAACCTGAACTTTGAGCATTAATGATACGAAGGGAGTAATTTTTCTGATTTCTGATTTGATTTTGTGAAGGTTGTGAGGTCAGGTGATCTTGTTTCCTACACTGCTGAAGAAGGGGTCAGAATCCTAGGAGAGGGAAAATTCTTGGTTTCTGATAGTTTCCCTGGGAACGAGAGAACCAAGTACTGCCTGACTTCTAAGGTATAGTACTTCTCGGCTCACATTCATTAATCACATATCTTCTTTTATGGTTACCTGCATAATTTATGGTTTTGACTTATGAGGGTGTTTATAAGGACAAAGAATTTAGCACCGATTAAGCTCAGTACCATCAAATTAACATAAAAAAGGCTGACTTCCATATCCTTTAATGGTATATACATCATTGATCAATGCACAGGAACAGTTTGTTTGATGATGTCAACATAACTAAACTTTCGATTAAAATTTTATAAGGTGGAGAAAAGTTTGAACATGATTTTGTTTATGAACGCAACTTTACTCAACCGAATTAGAACCCGACGGAAGAATTCATACGTGTTTTTGTTTAGATTGATATTGGTGTCATTTGTCTGATACTGACATTAAAGAGAATAGATGAGAGAAATTAACTAAAAGCCAATAGTTTGGAACTGTATTCTTAAAGTTGTAACAGATTTTGTTCTCGTTTTTTTCTTCACTAAAGTCTAGTTTGTCTTTGTTCTCTTGCTGCCAATACTAGTTTTATGTCTCTTTATTAAACCACATTGTCATCATTAATTAAATCCGTCACAACTCTTAGCTTTATTAACTCTTAAGGATCTTTTGGTTATCCTATCCTACATACCTAATGAAGTTGAAGGGGGCAGCTGTTGACTGTTTTAGTTCACTGGCCATCATCCATGGAAATGAATGACAACGTTAGTAATTAGAGTTCTTAAAATAATTCTTTAAAGACTAATTCAATGATATACACAAAGAACAGGGAACCAGACGGTATCTAATTTAAAATTCATTGTTGTTGGATGAGTTATAACCTCTGTTATAACAAATGTCTGATGCCCCCTCCTAATCCATAGCTTGCTGCAATGCCAATCCAACTTTCTCTACATGATCCAGTGAGAAACTTTTTTCTGAAGAGTATATGCGTGAAGGATCTGTTTTTCATAACTTTCACCATGGTGATTGTTTTCAAAACTTTTTGTATTGGTTTCCTTAATTGATGACACTAAAATTGCAGATTCCTCTTGGAGTGGTTCTAGCAATTCCACCTTTTAACTATCCCGTCAACTTAGCTGTCTCAAAGATCGGTCCTGCATTGATTGCTGGAAACTCCCTTGTGCTCAAGCCTCCAACTCAGGTACATGAATTTCTGCTATATCTTACTGTTTATAATATTTTCCATCAATGCCATAAGAAAGAAAACTCAAATGTCAGCTATGTTGCTTGAGCTTCCCCCTAAAATTAATGATGCATTTGAAGGAACTAATTATATGGTTTTAAAAAACTCCTTTCAAACACCAGAAAAGTAAAGGAAATATGCATGTAATATTCCTCTTATTTTAATCGCTGATCCTCTTTAGTTTCACCCATAAATTTTGTTTCAGGGTGCTGTCTCTTGCCTCCATATGGTACACTGTTTTCACTTGGCTGGTTTTCCCAAAGGCCTAATCAACTGTGTCACTGGAAAAGGGTCTGAGATTGGTGACTTCCTTACTATGCATCCTGGTGCGAACTGTATAAGGTAATAATCGTTCATTTATCTTTTTTTTTTTGAAACTCCATTAGGTCCTTCCTTTCTCTTGTTCGATGCATAACTTGTAAATCCTAAGTTGCATTGTTTTTTCCTTAGCTTCACCGGTGGAGATACTGGTATTTCAATTTCAAAGAAAGCAGCCATGATCCCTCTTCAGATGGAATTGGGAGGGAAAGATGCCTGCATAGTGCTTGAAGATGCTGACCTAGATTTGGTAGCAGCAAACATAATAAAAGGAGGCTTTTCTTACAGGTACGAGAATTTTCCATAAATCTCATTAAAGTCGCGTTTGGCATGATGAATGATGAATATATAGATATTGTTCCATAAAGCCGAAAAATTTAGGTGTGTGTCGATGTGTTACACATACAATACCTCTTCAATATAGTGAAAATATCTTCAATCCAAATTTGATGAAATTTCTTTGTCAACAGGCTAGCTAGAATCAGATACATCTTAAATCATGCTGAAGATTTAATCTAATCATTTTCTTTGACTAAGATAAACCGGACGCAATCTAAGATGTTGGTGAAAATTCATAGGGATAGCTTCACAGCCAAAATCTTGAAGGAAAACATTACATGAAATGCTTTAAAGCTAGTTTCTGGGCTCTGCAATTGAAATCTTCATGTTTCTATTACATAGACATTTTTTAAATGACTCGTCGATTTTACATATGCACTAGATACATTTAATGCAAATCGGACCACACTTTTAGTATGCTATCTTTAGTAATATATATGTTTCTGCCTTGACCTTTATTTTGTGATTAATAAAATGATTTCCTTCTTTTCTGTCTTATCTATAACAGTGGTCAAAGATGCACTGCAATTAAGGTTGTATTGGTGATGGAATCCGTTGCTGATTCTCTGGTTGAAAAGGTGAAAGCAAAAGTTGCAAAATTAAGAGTTGGGCCACCAGAGGATGACTGTGATATCACTCCAGTAGTAACAGAGTCATCTGCCAATTTCATTGAAGGACTGGTTATGGATGCTAAAGAGAAAGGAGCAACATTCTGCCAGAAGTATAAGAGAGAGGGTAACCTCATCTGGCCCGTGTTGTTAGATAACGTGAGGCCTGACATGAGGATTGCATGGGAAGAACCATTTGGGCCAATTTTGCCAGTGATAAGAATAAATTCTGTGGAAGAAGGAATTCACCATTGCAATGCTAGCAATTTTGGACTCCAGGTACAGCTCATCTTCCTTTCTCTGCATTGCTGTTTTAGTTAAAGCAGAAGCATCTAAATGGATTAACTTCCACCACTCACTCTATCCATATTTGAGATCTATGCTTGCTTCTGAATCACAGGGTTGCGTATTTACAAAGGACATCAACAAAGCAGTGTTGATCAGCGATGCAATGGAAACCGGGACTGTCCAGATCAACTCGGCACCAGCTCGTGGACCAGATCATTTCCCTTTCCAGGTGAACCAAAAGCTTCTGAAAATGCTACCAGATTATGTCACTTAATTACTTCATATTTTGCACCAGAGCAGGGCCTTATCTGAAGGGGCTAACAAATGCGTGGTTGACAGGGTTTGAAGGATAGTGGCATTGGATCACAAGGCATCACCAACAGCATTAACATGATGACCAAAGTCAAGACCACTGTTATCAACTTACCTTGCCCTTCTTACACCATGGGTTAGTATCATCTATTAGGGAACCAATAATCGCAACAACATCCTTAGCTGATTAGCCATACTCGCGGAAGAATTATCTTTTTCAACTTCTCTTCTGTATTCTCCTCATCAACTCATATCTAAGAGCATAATATGGAATAAAGATGCATAAATCAACTGCTTAATTGTCTGCTGCCAGATTGCTAGTTGCTGTTCAGTTATTGTAAAGTTGGGCTCTAGTGTGCTCTTATTTCCCGATTTCCCTGAAAATATTTGATCATAACTTGATAAATAGATGACTTTTTTTGCTTATCATAAGCATAAGTGGTGTTAAAAATTGCATATGAACTGGTTTGCATTAGCTCGTTAATTTCCGAACTCATTGTTTAAGCGATTGAGAGGATCCATATTCTGTCGTAAAACCTAAATACATGATGCTTGGGATTGAGAAGGAAGAATTTTTGTTGTTGGGGAGCCCATTAGCCAACTGGTTTATCAAATGAAAGATGCTTGTGTTGTTCCTTTTGTTCTCCACTTCGTCTTCCTCTCGTTCGGCCGTAGATTTTAGACATTTTTTTTTTACTTCAGGCTCTTCAGGATCCTCCATTAGAAGTAGAATTTGAAGAGTAGCAAAGAGCGGCCAAGGAACTGCGGCTGTTAGGCACTTTAAATAAATCAAATGATGCAGGTAAAAGCTTGTCATTTTCCAGCTTCATCCTGTAACTCAAAACTGTTCAGAATCAACAATTGGTGATGAAAAAGGATATCCCTGGATTCTTTTCCATAACTATTTCTAGACTCTTAGCAGTGCACTCACAAGCTATAAAGGCTCACATTTTTCATTCACTTTCATAATGTCAGCAAGCTGAGAAAAAGAGGCAACCAAAAAGAGCTAACTCCATCCATTAAAATGAACGTATTGACTCAGGCATCAAAAGGGTAATTCACAGTTTTTGCGATCTCACTAAAATTCAAGGGTAAGACATGAGAAAGGAAACACTATACCATACACTTCATGGGATCATGCATCCGAAGTTGCCTGTCAAGTCCCAATGAATTACGATTAGTTGAATGAAATCAAATTCAAATGCTTGTTCCTCATTGTTTAATGCCATATGACAACCTTGAGGGTAGGCCTAAAAGACGGGTGATAAGCTACGATTTCCACCTCGTCAACCAGGTTTCTTCGCCTTTGATCGGATCAGGAAAAGAGACTTAAGATAAGCTGACTTGACCATGTTGCTTGATCCTTAAAATTAAAAGAAAAAATCATGTCATGCATATACATGAGATAGCCATCTAGCAACAGCAATTAGCACAACCATCATTTTTCCAACTCCACCTTAATTAGCCCTGCACCAAATTTACTGTAACACAATTTCTTGTAGGGTAATTTTCGACTAAAAATTTCTGCAATCCCTTGGAATTCTAGGATTGATTGATGACACAAAAAACTTTTATTAAATAATTGACACAGCACGAGAACTCGCCATGTATGGCCTAAAAAAAATATTTAAGAAGAAACAAAAAGAATTTTTTTCTATTTTTTTTATATAATCAAAATTTATCAAAATCAAATTTTTAATAATTTTTAATTTAGTCTATTAGTTTTAAATTTATTCAATATATTACTTACAAGTTAACTAATTTTTTGTTTTATGTTGCAAACTACAAAATTCACTCAGTATAGTTTTTATTATATATATTAAGTTGTTAGTTTTATTATAAATTAACTATGCGGTAACACAAAACACAAACTTTTACTATTTATTTATTTTTGTTTTTAATATTATGGATTTATTTTTTTCAAATTAAATAATTAAAATTATGTTTTGAAGAACCAACCAATTATTCAAATATAGTTTTTATTCTAATATTGTTGATAATTTTATGAATAAATATATCAAAATCAAATATTTCAAAAGCTAATCTTCTCATCAACATTAAATAAAATAAAAAAACAATTTTTTTTATTTGTTTATTTTATGCAAGTTCTTACATTAATTGTTATTTTGTTTAACAAGACAAGTCTTATAAAAATAATATTATGATTTTTTTATATTTCGTATTAAATTTTCTTTTTTAATTATTGCAAATTTTTAATTAAAAATTCATGGAAAAAAAGAAAAGAATCATTTTTTTTGGTACAAAAATTATGAAAAACACGAGAAAGAATTAGTGAAATATAAATTTTTGATTAAAAATTAAATATTTTTTCTTTCAATTAATATATTTTTGTGAACTCATAATATAGTATAGCCTACTAAACTAGAATGATTTTTTCAAATTAGTTCACATGATTTGCAGCATAACATGGTAAGAAACTAATCTCAAATTAATTGGGATGACCTACATGGACAAGCTTATTGCATTTAGTTCTATTTTGAACTAAACTAGCTTTGCTTTTGTGAATTTAGCTCGTGTCATTCTTGATCAGCATAAATTGAAGGTTTTTGAAATAAAATCGTTTGAAATGACTATAGATCATGTTGGCCACTCAAATTCCTGGAAAATATAAAGAAATTTCAGCTATGATAAGCTGGGGGACCCGCTGGATGTGGCAGGAATGAAATTCACAGCATATATATATATTGTTATTGTTTAGTCCCTATATTTTGAATACAACTACAACTGGATCCTTCATTTTTAAAAAACTATAACTTGGTCCCTTGATTCTTATTAATTGTTATAATATTAAAAAATTTATTTTTATATTTATATATAGAAAAATTTAAAAGTGTATTATTATAAGTATAACATGCTGTTCTGTCTCGTGTCCGTCAAAAACGAAACAAGAAGAGAGTGAATAGAAGTTGGGCTTTCAACCTAGACACTCTAATATCCAATATCGAGCTATAAACATATAAGAAAAGCAAGCTCACTCCATTAAGCTTACCAATGGCCACACCAAAAAGGAAAGAAACCCATTCAGCCCAAGGTTGATCCAGTGGGCTCTGAGGCATGAAAAGGAAGAAAAAAGAAGAAGAAGAAGGAAAGCATGCATCCATAGCCAAATATAGCCCATCGGCCCTAGGTGCTTGCTGATGGGCAATGACAAAAGAGTTCAGTTGGATGGGCACAGGCTTTATAAGCCTAACTACCTGGGCCTAACGACTTTCAGTTTCCATCAGCAACCAACAAACCACCGTTACAATCCCCTTTCTATGCAATCAAAAAGGTGTCTTTTGAGAGAGAGAGGAAATGGAAAGAGAGGAAAACGAGCTGGAAGATGAAATCAAGGAGGCTGGACATGCACTTCTTTCACCTCCATCTTCTGTTTCGCAACTCATCTTTTTGCTTGAGGTATTTTTTGTCATCTCTCTTCACTGTGAATTTTGTTTGAGTTGACTGTTTTTTTTATTTTTTGTAATAATAAAGTGTGTTATAGGGTTTCTGTTTTTTTTTTAAAGTAATTGAGCTTTTTAAGTAAGTTAAATGTACTGTTTCTACCAACATTTTCTTTATGTGGGTGTGGGAGCAAATTAGTAGAAAAATCAGGGTTTAAAGAGATTTTTTTATATTATATATATATATATATATATATATATATATATATTTTTTTGTCTAGGGACAAGGCCCTTGTTATCTTCATGTTTCTCCTCAGCCCACTCTTCTATAGATTAAGTAGTTGACTTTCTATATTTTGTACTGTCTTTTTTATGAAATCTTGAACTATCTTGAATAGGCTCAAGTCTGCTAGTCCTTTTCTTTTCTATTTTCTTTTTGGGAGGGGGTATAAGTTGTTTTTTGAATGAATTAGGTTTAGCACTTCGTTGTGACTAAATTGCATTATTTTAGTTGGGATCCAATGTGCATGTGCACCTTCTGGAAGCTTTCGTTTAGTTGAAATTATAAATTTTTGTTTTCCAATTTTGGTTAATTTTGTGCTGCATGTTTTAATTTACTAGGGTGTTTTGAGGTGCAGTATGCTGATGTTGCATGTACTCTTTGATTTGGGTTTTAATGTTCAATTTGAACTAAAAATAAAGTTGTTGAAATGGAATTGATGAAGTTTTTCCTAGTGTGGTTATTTGAAAATCAATAATTTTACTCAACATGAGGTTCCTAGCGAACTGCTCAATTATCCAACTTGTAAGGGGAATGTTGGTCAGTACATCAAGCTAAAGGTCACAACCTCGAGGTGAAGATGTTGATTGGATTGTTTTATATATTACCCCCTATTTACTATTTGTTAAGCTCAATTCTTCGTGTCTCTCTCTGCTTAAATTCAGATGCAAATGCATTTTCTCATTCCTTTTCCTTTCCTTTCCTTTTGTTTTTTTCTTAGAAACTTGAGAATTGTTTAACGAGAGTGGATCAATCTCCTTCCAACTCAATGCAAAAGGCAGTAGAGCTTGCAATGAAGGCACTTATGACCAAAGAACTTTTGAATCATTTGGATGTGGATGTGAAAGTTTCTGTTGCATCATGCTTCAATCAGATTTTAAGAATAACAGCACTAACTTTTTCATATGATGATGAACAAATGAAGGTACATACCCCTACATGTGTCTCATAGTTTGATTTCCAGAGGGATTAAGAATTTCAGTTGGTGCATGATTGTAGTTGCAGAGTCTTGTGCATGTGCCAAGATACTTTAACCTGCCTGTGTTTTCAATTTTCATAGTCATGCGTATGTGTATTTTGCCATACTCTTGTGTGTTTTATCTTACATTAGATTGCTTTGCAGGAAATTTTACAGCTGATTGTAGCATCATTTGAAAATATATCTGACACCTCAAGCCCTTCATACCATAAAAGAGTTTTGATTCTAGAAAAGTTTGCAAATGTCAGATCATGCTTTTTGATGGTGGATCTTCAGTGTTATTCCTTGATTATGAAGATGTTTAAGCATTTTTTGACAAATATAAGGTGAGAAATTGGAGTGCAATTTTTTTTTTTTTTCAGGGCAATTTTTCTCAGCTGATTTTCGAGTAAATTAATTTTGTTAGTTTTTCAACTTTTGTTTAGGTGGTCTTCAATATTTTATATTTTTTTCTCATATAGTTGGTTTTAAATAATTAAAACTTGAATGTTAGTTTATTCTATTTGTTTTGGAACAGACTAAGTAACCCCCCCATAATGCATAGTTTCTTGGCAATGATTAGTACGGCAATGCTTGTTTTTTCTTCTTGATACTCCTCATGCCTTGTTTCGTGCACCATTTCTAGTAGCACTACTTGCTGCTGGTGGTTGGTGTTCAAAACTGAAGGTTCCCAACAGGTCCACAAAATTTTGTCATTTGTCACATGCTGTTGCTTAAGAATTGTATCCTTAATTATAAACCTTCTTTTTTATCTTTTAGCCTTATTATGTTTTCTGGACCCAAAAAAGGCAGATAAGCAGATTTCCAAAAGCATCAATGATTTTTTTCCCCATCTATGGCCAATAATGTATAAATTGCCTATGCTTGATTTTCTTCAAGTATGATGGTACGCCAGTAAACCTGAGTGTTGTCATGGAAAAGATTGTAACTCAAAAGACCATGTTGCATTTTTTTTTTAATAGAATGGATTATAATTGTTGAGCTGAATGTGCACGATTTTCAGGGAACACCATCCTGACATTGTATATTCATCTATGGGGTTAATTATGATAATAATCTTAGATGAAATTAAAGAGATCCCATTGGAGATTGTCAACCTCCTTTTTGACTGTATAAGAAACAGAAACCAGGTGAATGTACAACCAACCTTTTTTCAGTCAAACTCTTATAACTTCGTTATTATCTAAATGACCATTAATTTTTTTATTTATTTTTGTTCTGTTTTCATCAGGATGTTTTGCCTATTGCACAAAAGCTTGGAGAGAGAGTATTTGAAAACTGTGGATCAAAGCTTGCTCGCTACATGCCTCAGGCAAATTATAGTGGCCAGAAGCGTAGTAGGGGCAGGCTGCAATATTCAGGAAGTCATACTGAGGTTGCTGGATTTATCTCATTTCACGTAAAAATAGGATCACTTTATTCAGTTGGATTCACCATTCATTCACCTTGCAGCTAGTTGTGAAGGAGAAAAATGATAGAGAAGAAGGCTGTGGATATCAGGTTTTTGAAGAGGGGAATAGAGAGGAAGGTGAAAGGACCAAAGAGAAGGCAGTTCAACAGGAAGATGAAATTTCCCTAGGGGAGTTTATGAAACAGATGAGAAGCAGAAAAAGGGTCAAAACAAACCAGAAGGTTAGGTTTGGCAATTTTTTCCTTTCCTCTTGTTGACTCTTAATTTTGTAACACACGACCATTGTCGTAGTCGCTGGGAAAAGTTTTTCTGGCTGCATGATTTTTTTGTTAAATTACTTTATAAGTATGAAGCAAGGCATTTGAACTTTATAGTTCAGTTGGAGTTACAATGCTTTTACTCCACAGCCAGTTGTGAAGGAGAAAAATGATAGAGAAGGAGGCAGCGAAATGCAGGTTTTTGGAGACAAGAATAGTGACAGAGGCAGAAAGGAGGAAATTGATAGAGAAGAAAGTTGTAAAGAGCAGGGTTTTCAAGAAGACCATAGCGAGGAAGGCAAGAAGGCCAAAAGGAAGGTTTTCAAAGTGAAGAGACATCACAAGAAAGGTGTAGTTTTCCTAGGGGAGATTGTGAAAAAGAATGGAAGCGGAGCAAGGGTAAGAAAAGACCAAACGGTTAGTATTCCAATTGATGATGCCATCTTTGCCTCTTGGTTTTTTGTAATTTTTTTTTGTAATGTGATTTCTTAGTTACTGGAAAAGTTGTAAAGAGCAGGGTTTTCAAGAGGACCATAGTGAGGAAGGCAAGAAGGCCAAAAGGAAGGTTTTCAAAGTGAAGAAACGTCAAAAGAAAGGTGTAGTTTTCTGTGCGGGGATTGTGGAAGAGAAGGGAAGGAGAGCAAGGGTGAGAAAATACCAAACGGTTTGTATTCCAATTGATGTTGCCATCTTTGCCTCTTGGTTGATCTTAATTTTTTGTAATGTGATTTGTTAGTTACTGGAAAAGTTTCTCTTGCTTCATGATTTACTGGAATAGTTCTTTTGTGCTGATATTCTTGGTTAATGAAAAAATATTTTTCCATTTTCTCTTTTCTGTTTGCAGAGTAGACGAAAACTTAAATATAAGGGAAAACAAGCCATGGACTGTAAATGCAACCAGCGGAAAATGCATGAGTTTCTTTCAAACTTAAAAGGGAAGAAAAGAAGCATAATTGCAAATTCAATCTTCTCTGCTTTCCTTGATATTTGTAATTGCCCTATTAACCGCAGTCTGGCAGCAGCTCTTATTGAATGCTATGATGCTAAAACGGATGCATTTGTTATAGCAGGCCAGCCACTCAAGTTCTGTGGAAAAGAAATTGAGAAATGCATTGGACTCAGCTTTGAAGGGAAAAGGGTGGACATAAATTTGTTGGGTGGGCATAATGATTCTCAAATTGCATGGAGGTACTTTCAAATTGTGAAAGGAAAAGCAAGAATCAAAAAGAAGTCAGCAGGTGCGGGGAAGGAAAAGGAGGATGGAGAAATGAGAAGTTCCTTGTCGATATCCAGCAGTTTGCTTCTGCAAGAACTAAACCGGATGAGTGTAGATGAAAAAGATGAAGCTGACAACTTCCTTCGTCTATCCATTTTATACATGTTCAATGTATATTTCTTCCCATCCTTGTCCAAACATATATCTTGGTGGCCGCTCAAATTCCTGGAAAATCTACATGATTTCGGCTCATATGCTTGGGGACGGGCTGCATATGACTATTTACATAAATATCTGCAAAAAGCAGCAATCAAGTTGGCTGGTCAGAACAAATTCTATGCATGCTTGAATGGATGTGTTCCATTGTTGCAGGTATAATGGCATTATCGAGCAGAAGTTGGGCTTATTTTTATTCTTTATTTGGATTTCACATATTTCTTTTTTAATTTCTTTTAGACTCTGGCATTGGAACGGATTAGCAAGTTGCGAGTCCTAACTCCTCCAACAAGCCTAAGTCCCTCTATACTCAATTCTAGTAAGATGAATGGTATGACATTCGATGCAATCTTACAGGTGTTGGCCGAGCTGCAACCTGATGAGGTAATATGGCGGTAAAAGCAATAATGATTTGTCAAAACCAGTCACAGTATTTAACCACAAACCTATTATATAATTTCGCTCAAGATATTGTGTCAAAATAGTTACTTTTGCTTTCTCTTTTCAACTTATATTTTTGGACAAGAAAATCAAAGTTTCGATTGATTCTTTTCTGTTAATATATACAGATCAAGAAATGCAAGGATTGTGAAGCTATAGCTGAGAACGAGACTCGGTTGCAAGGTGACATGGTGAAGAGAACAAAAAGGCAGAAATGTCAAAAATGAAGAGAAGAAAGATGAGTTGGAAATTACTATATAGCTCCTGTAGTTCCTGATCTTAGCAAAATGAAATATTTTAACCCAACTCTTTGTTAATAGAGATAAATAACATGCCAATGTTATCCTAATCTATCTTTTGTTTATTATTTTCATCTGCTAATATGTTTTTACTTTCTTCGAACGGTAGTGCTTTCTTATACTTTTGTTATATGCTAATTAATGTGTTAAATTTCTTAGGTAATTGGATACAATTCCCATTTGGAATGATTTTTTTTTTTTTTCCAAAATCTATTTGTTGAAAATTTTGTTTATAGGAGCAAACCATTCAGTGTCTTTTTGGTAAATGACTTCGGGAAGACTATTAGCTTTTAGCCATTCGGCAAAAATCAGCATTGCGTGTGAATTATAATATCTAGTTACTTGTGTAAAATCCAGCTCAGATTCCAAGCTGATAATCATTAAAAAAAAAAAAAAAGAAGTGGCATAAACGTAAATAAATAGCACTGATAACTCAGCTTCACCTCACCGACGTGACGCTGTCACCGGTATTACCATACAAAAGCAAGACTCTTGTTAATAATCTCTCTAAAACCTAAGTTGATTTTTTTTTTTTAACAAAATTAAAACCATATTTCATCGCTGGCAAAACAATCCTGCTTTAAACACAATTTTTAGTTTCCTTTTCTTCTCTCTCTAACAAGTTTTAGGGTTTTTGACGGCAAGAAACATTTTGCCTCATGTTTGGCTCCTTATAAAAATGTAGCCGAAAAAAAAAAAATTTTTTTTTCTTCTTCTTTTTCTTCACTTACTTGTAGCGTAAGAAAGGAGCTAATAATCAGTTATTCGTTTAATCAATGTTATTATTATTTTTTTTAAGGGTTTTCTAGTTGTAAAATTTAATTCAATACTGAAAAGAGAGTAGAATTTGAGTTTGTTAAAATTAGGGAAAGATATGGGTATAGAAGAAGATAAAAGGATTGAAGAGGATCTATTCCTAATAGGAAATGCGCTTGTTTCATCTCCATCTTCTGTTCAACAACTTAATGCCTTGCTTGATGTAATTTCTTTGTTACCCACTCTTTATTTTTAATATATTCAACATCTACGGTGCTATTGCTTTGAAATTTTATGCGTCTTATTTTCCGAAAATTGAGTGTATGTTTCATTTTGTTTCACCTCAGTCCTTTTCGTATGGTTCTTTTTTATAGGAAGTGGAGAGTTGTTTAAAGAGAGTGGATCAGTCATGGTCTCCAACTCTTTGCAGAGTGCACTTAATCCTGTAATGAAGGAACTGATGACCAAAGAGCTTCTGTATCATTCAGATGCGGATGTAAAAGTTTCTGTTGCATCATGCATCAATCAGATTTTAAGAATTAAAGCACTAGATGTTCCTTATGGAGATGAACGGATGAAGGTAGACTTGGTACTCTTGTGCGTTTTCTTATGCACAGACTCAAATGTTTTAACATGCCTTTATTTGGTCACTCTTTTGTGTGTGTGTGATGTGTTTTTGGCATTCACTTAGGTGTTCTCTTTTACAATGGGCTGCTCCAAAGGAAATTTTACAGCTAATTGTAGCAGCATTTGAAAATTTATCTGATACCACAGGCCCTTCATACAGTAAAAGAGTTTCCATACTTGACACTGTTGCAAACTTCGGATCTTGGAATCTGATGGTGGATCTCCAATGTCATTCCTCAATTGTGGAGATGTTTAAGCATTTTCTGACAAACATAAGGTGAGAGATTGACCGAGTGCATGTTTGTTGTCGTTGAAGCTAGGTCATGTTAGTTTTGATCTGCATTTCAGGGCTTGGGCTATGCATACTTTTAGGCTTGGAGAAGTTCAGACAAATGTCTTCTTGCAATTTAATTAACCATGGGTTATTTCATGTAACTGAATTCATTCTCTTTTTTCTCGATACTGATAATGAAAGTTTATCTACTGCAGTCACAAAATGAAATGATGGTTAAAACTTTTGAAACGCTTTTCTCTTGCGCAGAATGTGCTTGTGCATTAAGCAATGATTATAATCTCCGAGCCATGATTTAGTTTTTGATTGTTCGTAGTTGGATCTGAACTTTTGTGCTGAATGACTGCTAACTGTTGAATTGGATGCGCACAAATTTCAGAAAAAGACCATCCAACATATGTCTTTACCTCTATGGGGTTAATTATGGTCATGATCTTGGAAAAACTTGAAGAGATTCCACCAGAACTTCTCTCCCTCCTTTCAGGCACTGTAACAAAGGACAACCAGGTGAATTCTTATCCTTACAAGTATCTCCTTTTCTTTCCTTAATTGATCACGATCCTAATCATTAAATCTTTTTTTTTTCTTTTCGCTTTAGAATGTTTTACCTATTGCAAGAGAGCTTGGAGGGATGCCATGTATGCGTCCAGCTGAGCAATGCATGAAGGGAGCTTTGGCTGAGAAAAGTAATGGGATCGAGCTGCAGGATTCAGTAAGTAGTGCTGAGGTTGTTGCATTTCTCCAGTATTCCTTTACAATTCGAGTTGCATTTTTCAGTTAAATTTACCATCTATTGACTTGGCAGCCAGTTGTTGACAAGGATAGAGAGCAAAGCAGTGAAAGTAGTGAGAAATGAAAAAAGAGAGACGAAAAGAATTTGGAAGAGGACAAACATGAAGAGGCTGTGGTAGAGGAGAGAAAAGAGGCCAGAGAACTGGAGGTTAGAATTCCAAAATTTTGCCATTGTGCCATCTTTGTCACCTTCGCTAAATTCTGCTGTATTATAGTCAAATGGTATTGCATTTTTCAGTTTAATTCACCATCCACTGGCTTGGCAGCCAGTTGTGGAAAAGGATAGAGAGGAAAGCAGTAAAGAACAGGGTTTTGAAGAGGAGGCAGGACCGCAGGAGCGAAAGGCGAATAGGGACAAGAATATGTATTGGAAGAGGAGGGAACAGTTTTCCAAGGGGAGACTGTGAAAGAGAAGAGCAGGAAAAGGTCCAAAAAAGACCAAAACGTCAGTATCCTATAAGTTTTTTCCATTTTTACTCTTTAGTTATTTGCAACCTTTGTGGTCTTTGTTAATCTTAATTACATTTCTGTTAGCATTCCTGTATAAGTCAAATTCACCATCTATTGACTTGACAGCCAGTTGGAGACAGGGATAGAGACGAAGGCAGTCAAGAGCAGGTTTCTGAAGAGGAGGGAAGGATTAAGTTCTGAGGAGGTTGCGAAACAGAAAGTCAAGAAAAGGGCCAAAAAAGACGAGAATGTCAGTATTGCATAAGATTTTGCCATTTTTTTACTCTTTTTATTTGCCATCTTTATCTCTTAGTTAATCCTGAGTTCGTAACGTGGCCTTGTCTTAGTTACTGGAAAAAGTTCTTGCTACATGGTTTTACGGTTAAATCACTAGATGAATATCAAGCATGTAGTATACTTCACTGTGTTTTTTTTTTTTACCCTACAGGGCCAGAAGAAACCTGTATGCAGGGGACGTCAAGTGATAAAAACAAGATGCAGTCAGCATCAAATGCATGAGTTTCTGTCAAATTTAGAAGGGAATAAAAGAAGCATAATTCAAAGTTCAATCTTCTCAGCCTTCCTTGATATTCCTAAACGCTCCATCCGTCCCTCCATGGCTCATGCTTTGATTGAACGCTATGATGCTGAAATGGATGCATTTATTTTAGCAGGTCAGCCAAAATGAAGTTCTGTGTCAAATAAGTTGAGAAGTGCATTGGACTTGGCTTCGAAGGGAGAAAGGTGAATTTTCAGAAGGGGTATACTTCTCCTCAACTCATTCGGAAATACTTTGAAATGGTAAAAGGAAATTCTAAAATCACTGATGACTCAGAAGGAGCAATCAAGAAAAAGAAAGATGAAGAACCCAAAATTAATTCCTTTGCGATATCCAGTAATATGCTTCTGCGCAGATGAATGTTGACAAAAAAAGTGAAGCTGACAACTTCTTTCATCTATGATCCTTTTTATGTTCAATAACTATTTCTTCTCACCCAATAGCATATATGTAAATCATTGGCCGCTTGAATACCTGGAAAAGCTAGAGGTCTAGCAATAGATATGTTAAAATTTAAGTAATTTACTATACCAGTAATGAGAAAAAAAAAGAAAAAAAGGAACCGGATCTGTAATTTTTTGTTTTTTTTATATTTTTTTTCCCAATTTTCAAGGTCTAGTGTTATTTTTGAAGTAGTTTGCGTATATGAAGATTAAGTGTCTTTTCAATACGGTGAAAGGTAGATTATTTAGACTATGTCAACGCTATAAGATTTATGAAAAATCATTCTTTTGGCCTGTTTTTTGGAATTGAAATATGATTGATAGACTCTGCTATTTACCTAATGTGTTGTATGTTTACCCCAAACTACATGGAGATTACAGGGTCAAGCCATTTACCAGAAAAAAAAAAAAAAAAAAGCCTACTTGCAGGCGGAAACAGCGAAGGCAACCCTCGCAGAGAGGGAGGGGAAGAGATGTAAATAGATTCAAAATAGGACACAAATAAAGAGGTTAAAGTACTGCTGGATAAATAACAAATCAAGTAGAGGATCCCAAACTGACATTTAACTATTCTCAACTCCACCGTACGGGTTCAAAGAGCTTCTTCAGAGGAATTTTTATTGTTTATAGTTTGGTTTGGGCGTGTTTGGATTGTTACTAAAAAGTTGGGAGATGGGAAGAGAGGATCCAAAACTTGAAGAGGATTTGATTTTGGCAGCAAAATCAATTACTTCACCTCCATCTTCCGTTCAACAACTCCTTCCTTTACTTGATGCAACTCTTTCTTTTTACAAACATTTTGCATCTTCTTTGCTTTGGATAGTTGTGTATGCACACACAAAACCCAAGAGTTATTTTTTTTTCCTTTTTCTTTTTAATTATGGTAGTGCTCAGACAGCCACCAGTGAAGTGATTCTGTTTATTATTATTTGTGCTAAATTGGTTATTGTTTATATATATATATATATATGTTAACAATGTATAGCTTTTCATTGGACTTGAATTGGATGCCTCATCCTTCTTGCTTTCCAAGAAACAAATGAACTTCAATCTTATTGGGTAGTTAAAGGAACCTTTTTTTTTTTCAGTTTGGAGGCTTTGGTTTAGGTGAATATTGTTCACATTCTTGTTTTCCAATTCTTGCTCAATTTTGTACTGCCCTGTTCATATTTATATGGGTATTTTGAGCTCCATTAGTCCATGAGGCATTGTGGGGCACTTCTTCATTGGAAGTAGAATAGGAAAGGGGAAACAAAGGTTAGAAAACAAAGCTAGTAACTGGCATTTCCCCTGTGCCCCACATTTCACTGTTAAGGCGAGGTTAAAAGAAAATAATCAAACCTTTTATTTTCTGAAGCAATTATGCCTTTGTGTCAATATTTAAATGCTAGTGCAGCTGTATTTCTCCTTCAATCCTTCATTTTCTTTTTGTCAAGTTAAATCACTCTTCTTGTTAACTCTTGCTGCAATGCTAATGCATGACTGCATTCCTTTTCTTATCCTTCGTTGGTCAGAAACTTGAGATTTGTTTAACGAAGGTTGATCAGTCACCTTTCAACTCTATGATAATTACACTTGCCCCTGTAATGACGGAACTGGTGAAGAAAGAACTTCTGAGTCGTTCAGATATGGAAGTGAAAGTTTCTATTGCATCATGCATCAATCAAATTTTGAGAATAACATCACCAAACGCTCCTTACGGAGATGAGCAGATGAAGGTACAGATTTAAACAGTTTTACTAATTGCCTAATGTATGCATAAACTTGATTCTTGTTTTCAAGATAGTGTACTTTCTTTTTGTAATCTCTACAAACAATTTAACAGAAAGAGAGAATGGATTGAAATATGAAATAACAAAAAATAAGAGAGCCAAGCATTATATTAAAAAAAAAAAAAGGTTGAAAGGATGTTTTGGACCAAATAACAAAAGCAGTTAAATCTATGATTTTAAGTAGCCCCATCAATACTCCAGCTTCTGCTCCAAAAAACCAAGCCCATGGAAGGGAAGAAATGTAAATAGGCACCCAGAATAAGACCCTCGTCAGACGTCAGCCACAGAGCCTCATTGGCGGACTACAAACTCACACTTAACTATTCTTAAGTCCACCCTGCGGGTTCAAGGAATGCTTCTTTAAGGCAGAAAACTTGTGTAGCATTTCCTAAAAAAAAAAAAAAAAAAGAAAGATCTTTTCCCTTTTTCTTTAGCTAGGGCGTGTTTGGATTGGTGCTAAAAATGGAAGAGATGAAGCAGAAGATCAAAACCTAAAACAGGATTTGATGGTGGCAGCAAATGCACATATTTCACCTCCATCTTCTGTTGAAGAACTTCTTTCTTTTCTTGAAGTAACTAATTTTTCCCTCTTTTATCTTGCTCTTCCTGTCTTATATTTTGCATTATTTATGTTTAGTGCAGTTGGGAGTGCAGTTTTGTTAAAAGAAGGTCCTTTTTTTTTGTTGAGATAAATGTTAACCCTTCTTGGGTCACTAGAATACCAATGAACTGCACTCCCATTGGTAGGTTGAGGTTGAGGTTGAGTTTTTATATGCATATAGTTGCTTGCTATGGTGGTGAAATTCAGTTTAGTAAGTGTGAGTACAAGGTTTTATCTGGAGAGGGACCGGTTTATCTTGGACTTCTAGTAAAACCAGGCAGGGCTAAAGAAAATTCTATAGCGATCGCTTTTGTTTGTATGACATTATAATTATATTTTTCATGGCTAAATTTATAATCATGGAGTTGATTTTTTAATCCTTTCCGTTTTTGTGAAATTAAGTTTTGCTTTCTTTGTCTCTTACTGATTTAATGCATTGTCGCATTCCTGTCTCTTTCCTTGTTTTGTTAGGAACTTGGGAATTGTTTAATGAGAGTGAGTCCAAGTCTACCCTAAGGGCTCTAGACCCTGCAATTAAGGCACTGACAGCAAAAGACCTTTTCAATCATCTGGATGTGGATGTCAAAGTTTTGGTTGTGTTGTGCATCAATGAGATTATGAGAATAACTGCACCAGATATACCTTTTGGTGATGAACAGATGTTGAAGGTATCTAAATTAACATCATGCTTTTCAGTTTTGCTTAACAAACTCTTTTGAAAGCTTCAATTGATTGCTTGTGCTTGATCTTGTGGGCTTTATTCAACACTTGATTGCTTTGCAGGAATTTTTTTCGGCTGATTGTAGCAGCATTTGAAAATCTATCTGATACCTCAAGCCGGCCATACAATGAAAGAGTTTTAATTCTCGAAACTTTTGCAAAGATCAGAACATTTATGCTGTTGATGGATCTTGATTGTGTTTCCTTAATTTCGCAGATGTTTAATCATTTTCTGGGAAATTTAAGGTAAGAGGTTGAGCTGGGCTTTTGTTTTGGTTAATTTACTTGTTTACTGTATTTCAACTGAGAGTCTGTTAATTGTGATGAAATATTGTGGATATATATGTATATATATATGGAGTTTTGGGTGGCAGAAGTCCATCTGGTAATGGTCAATTTGCTGTGTTCTTTTGAAAAACATAGGCACACTAGTTTGCAACTTATTCTACACTGGATGATCTTATGTCATTGAATCCATTGTCCATGATTTTTAAGTAATGCTACCTAAACTTAATTATGTGCCACTACTAAAATTTTCTGTAGCGGATATTGTCATTTTGGTCTTCCCTTTGTAATCAGAAAATTTAATCTGTGCACCAATAAGTTCAGAATATTACTATATTCTTCCTTATTGAAGGTTAACCTTGCTTTGTATATATTGTGGTAATTGTTTTTTTGCAAGCCTTTAGCTACCAGTAACGGTGCTCAGTTGATCCTCTGATAGATCAGAGTTTTTGAACTTCTTTTGAGGCTGTCTTCCTTCTCTTAACCCTCCTCTCAGATAGTGGTTTATATGTAATCAGTAACTTTTTTTTTCTTTCACATAGACCAAGTAATCTTGTTGCTGTAGCATATACTTTGTTGTCAGTGCTTATAGTTCGATGCTTCTTATCTTGCAGCAATATTAGGGCGATAAATGTTCGTGTGTATGGCTTGTTCACAAAAGCTTATGACCAAATGTTTCCTGCTAATTGTAGTATACTTGTATTCTAAATATTGACTGCATATTTTCTTTCAGCTGTATGACATAGGTTTAGATTCCAATAAGGATGTGCTAAAGTTGTTCAAGAATTTATTTTCACCATAGGCAATTTACATCTCCCTCTGTAGGATTCTTACATTTGGTGCCCATACTATTATGATTTTTTGGATTTGTAATGATCTTTCTTCTGATGATAAATATGAAAGGCAAGCCAATTGTATGTCATCATTGTGGTGAAGGTTATACCACAGAAGTGCGAGGCCCTACAACTTGTGTTAATGTTCTGAGTCATGGATTTAGTTTTTTCTTTTGCTTTTTTTTCCCCCTATATGGTGAAGTACTTTTTTTAATGTTTTGTGTTCAATTAGATGGATGCTGATTTTTTGAATTTGATTCCTTCAATTTTTAGAGAAAACCATCCAGATGTTGTCTTTTCATCCATGGGGTTAGTCATGATTCTGACCTTGGAGGAAATTGATGAGATTCCACCATAACTTCTCTCCCCGCTTTTGGATAGTGTCAGAATGGGAAACAAGGTGAGAGCTTGTTCTAGTATCTTTCTTTACTTTCTTGTACCGACTAGTCTCAATGAATGATGATTAAATGTCCTTCTATTTTTCAAATCCTTTCTCCAGGATGTTTTACCTATCACAACGAAGCTAGGAGAGAAATTGATTTATAATTGTGCATCCAAGCTTGAATCCTATATGCATCAAGCAGTTAAATACAAGGGCTTTCCTTTAGACAGTTATGGTAAAATTGTTGCTTGTATATGTGAGAAACAATCTGAGGCTTTGGAGCGCAGTGTTCTTATTTCTCAATTTACATTCTCTTCATTTATGGTAGTTGTATACTCAATCATGTTTTGACTAGGCAAGCCCAACTACATTGTTGGAATGTAACCCCAACTTGAAATTTGACATGAACAAATTTTGGTTTTGAGATCAGTACCAAACGTGCCTTAGACATCATTGTACACGATGCATTGGCTGTCTGTTTAAACCATTGTAATATAGTTTTCTTGTTTGTAAACTTTTTTGGAATTTTGAACTAAAATTTTAATTAAAATCCAATTATAAAAGAATTAAGTTCTATTATGGCTATGAACCTGGTGATATAAAATGAAATTATTATGTTGTACATCTTTTGTTATACACATTATGAGTTAACAATTCTGTGAGCATGTTGCTTCAACTTGATTTCCCTGTAAAGACATTCAGCCGATTGCCACGAATTAATTCATTTGTTTTTCTCCAATAAAAAAAGCTGAATTCTTTGAGTATTCCTCTTCCTCGTGATGATAAATGTTCTTGCAGCTCATATATGATTCACCAAATACTTGTAGAAGCTCTATTAATGGAAGTATTGAGGATTTCTAAGCATATAGCCATGGAATGAAATGTTCAAGGCAAACTTGTACCGACTTTTGTGTTTTCTATAATTATTTTGTGAAGCTTTTTGTTCTCATGATGTCAACAATGAATTTCCAAGAAAGAAAGAGTTACTTTTTGTCTCTTTCAACGTGCTATTTATTATTATTATTTTTTTTTTGGCAATATTGCCCTTCTTTATTCTCAGATTTGGATTTTAAGGTGGTTACACCTTTTGTGACAAGGTAGCTTATAATAAACCTGATAACTAGATTCTTTACAACAATTTATCTCTCTTGTTTAGCTGACTTCTTTTTTCTTCTTGATGAATTATTTCTGACAATCTTAAACATCTCTTCTTCAGAAAATCTCTGAAAATTGTGATCTCGCAAGTGGATGGGGGCGAAGAAGAAAAGGTGGCAAACCTGAACAAGGTTTTTAGAATTCTCCTTTAGTCAGAGAGTTTGTCAAGTGATGATATAAAGAATGGTGAAGCCTCACAGCCTAAGAATGTCCTCCTTGAAAATCAATCCAAGGGAACAAGTGTTCCAAAAGGCAAAAGATCAAGTAACAAGGTTGATTCTGAAAATGATGGTAATGAGATGAACTCGGTCCTCGGAGATGCAATGTTGAATGGAGCTGGTATAAGTGATGATTCAGAAGGCAAACCACTTGAGGCAATTTGTATGAAGGTAGGGATGGGGGTTAACACGGAGGACAGCTCATTAGTAAAACAGTGGCTCTGCAAGAAAAGATGAGAGCATAAGACTCCTTAACTAAAAATTTCTACTCTTATGGCCTCGCCTTTTCTTGCCGACCCACTATTTTACTAATAAGTTGTCCTCTGTGTTAACCCCCATAACTACCTTCATACAAATTGCCGCAAGTGGTTTGTCTCCTGATTCATTTGGTTATACCACCTCCATTCAACACTTGCATCTATGAGGAACTTAGCATAACATGGGAATTATTATTATTATTTTGGTTGGTGTATGTAAGAAACAACTTCATTTGTAAGGAAATTAATGTTTTGTGTTGAAGTGATTTTAACAGAAGTTCTTAGTTGAAAAATCAAAATATTTAGTGATAAAATTGATTTAAAACCTAATTTGATAATATCTAACAAGTTTGATGGTATAGTTGATGATTACCCTAAATTCTGTAACAAATCTCTTGATTGTAAGAAAGGAATCATCTACTCTTTAGGTCACACCTCTGAAGCCCGTCATGCTGGTTGATTTTTTCAAATTTGTCTGTACCAAAACCCATTCCATTTGTACACTCCATAAAAAGTTGTTCGTCCATCATATTGTGTAAGTATTATTACTGTCATTGATGGATAACTAAATGAAATTGGTTTGATGATTGAAAAGATATATAAACGATTCAAACTTTTATTGCATTAAAAATGCGTCATAAATTGATATAAGTATATGGGTTTATTTCCAACTGTTAAACTATTTGATTTAACTAAACATTATTATAAATAAAAAATAATTATTATATTATTATTTAAACCTTTTACTATTCCAGCTTGTTTTTAAATACATAATCTTTTAACACGTTAAATTTTTCTGTTATCTTTGTTGCAACTAGCAGAAAAGAAGCTCATAGTTTATGATAAGTCAAATTTGTGGAGCCCAAATAAAAGTTGGTAGATGATTTATAATAAGTCAAGGGGAATTCTTCTCCATATAACGAACTTAATTTTTTTCTTTCATTTATTGAGTATGATACGATCTAAGTTGTTTTTTGCCTTTGCCTTTAACTTTAGGATGATTTACCTATAGAACGAAGACCAGTAGAAAGAGTGACAGAAAATCGTGACTCAAAGCATATTACATATATGCAACAAGCTGAGAAGTGAACAGGCTTTCCTTCACATCATTTCTCTAACATTCCCGTATGACTCGATTAGATTTGCATTTTTTCACAATTCATCTTGAGTTCACAGCCAATTTTAGACAAGGATAAAGAATAAAGCAATAAAGAGCAGGTTTCTGAAAAGGAAGAGAAGAGAGAAGGAAAAGATTTTGGAAGATGAGAAGCATGAAGATGGGCTTACGAGGGAGAAGATACAAAAAAAAAAAAAAAAGACCAGAAGGTTACTATTGCACAAGATTTTGTCATATGTATCCCTTAGTTAATCTTAATTTTGTAATACGTCATTGTCTTAGTTACTAGAAATTTTTTTCAAGAAACCACCAACGCCTTATTTATTTTTAGATCATTTTGAGCTGTTTAGAAATGCGCATGAACAAAAAGAATAAGAAATAGATAAGGATGAGGTGATATTTTAGTTTAATCAACTTAGCAAGAATTGTTTAGAAAAGCTCGTTATCTAGGACCAAGATTACTTGGTATGTAGAGATCAACCAAGTCACGATATCAGATCACATTAGTGCTCCTCGTAGCATAAAGAAGCTCAATGAGTACAACTTTCGATATTGACAGACCTGTATTAAATCCTACTGTAGAGGTTAGGGTTTGTGGAATATTGTTAATGGTAAAGACACCTCACTACTGACAGAAGATGTGTAGGGTATTAGAAAATGGAATATAAAGGCCGCTCAAGCTCTGTATGTGATTCAAACTATAATGGATGAAAGTCTATTATCGCATATTTAAGACACAGCGACACCTAAACAGGCATGAGATGCACTCGTTGCCCTCTACTCGAAGAAAATGACGCTCGCCTTCAGCTTCTTGAAGCAGAGCTAATGAACACGACGTAAAGTACACTATCTATCAACAAATACTTTTAGAAAGTTCGAAACTTGATTCGAGGAATAGATCAGTTAGATCATGAATTCAAAATTGGCGAAAGTCGAATGAGGAGTATAAGGGGATAATCACAACAATACAAGACTTAAAGAACAACTCTCTCTAAATGAATCAGAAAATATATTGGCAAGCCAAGAACCTCTTCAAAAATAAATGGTAAAGGTTTCTATCAAAGATAATCGCGAGGAGGCACTTTTTCGTAATAAAAGAAAAGGCCAAAAAAATAGACGTAGTATCGATAAGCTGAGTTATAGTGAATAAGAAAAGCTATAAAGACAGCAAGAGAGATACAAAATAGGGGGAGCTCAGCATGGTCATGGAGAGCACAAAAAAAAAAAAAAAAAAAAAAAACTAATGCTTCATCTGTAGAAGGAAAGACCATTTTGCTAGAGATTGGTAGCATAGGAAACAGACGATAGAGAGAAATATGTTGACATTAAAAAATCACCACAAAACAAATGACAGTGAAGAAGAATGGGACTTTCAAGCATCAGTGGATGTGACAGTTCCTATAGTTATGGCAGAAGAAGAACTCAGTTTTGACGATCGAGGTGGTGCGAACGAGACAAATGAGGAAGCACTTGTAGCAACAAGATTGCAAGCTGCCAACTATAACAAGGATTGGGTTATATAATCTGGTTGTTCCAATCATATGACAGGTGGTAAGGACAAGCTGCAGTCCTTATCTGAGTATAAAAAAGGAGAAGTCGCAGAGACAACTCACAACTCAAAATTGCTAATTACTCATATTGGCAACACATAGATTATGCCACGATTCAATTCTACGAGCATGGTACGATAAGATAATTGAATTCTTGATACATAATGGCTACACACCAAAATCAGTGGATTCGAGCCTATTCATAAAGAATCAAAGTGTAAGACTTGCAATAATGCTAGTATATGTAGATGATCTCATTATCATAGGAGATGATAAAGTAAAAATTCAGAGCATCAAAAAAAAAAAAAAAAAAACTTGGCAATAAGATTTCAAATGAAAAAGTTTGGTGAATTGAGACATTTCTTGGGCTCGAGGTTGAGTACACAAAGGAAGGGCTATTCTTGCATCAGCATAAATAAGATCTATTGCAAAATTTTAGGATGCTAGAGTGCAAAAAAATCTCAATGCCGATAGAAGTCGATGCCAAGTTATACTCTGAAGAGGGAAAGGAATTAGAAGATGCAACTATATACCGATAGTTAGTTGGCAGTTTAATATACTTGACCATCACTCGATCAGATATTGCATTTGTAGTTAGAGTAGCAAGTCAATTTATACAGAAGCCTAGAAAACCTCATCTTGAAGCAGTACGAAGAGCATTAAGGTATATAAAAGGCACGATCAACTTCGTTCTCATGTACAAAAAAGGAGAAGAATTTAAGCTTATCGGATACTGCAACATAGATTTTGCCAGAGATCATGACACCCGTCAATCAACAACTTGTTGTATAATTTATCTTAGATCCATCGTTATCTTTTTATGTAGTACAAGGCAATCAACATTTTCACTTTATACTAACGATGAAGAATATATAGCAGCGGCAACAACAGTACAAGAAAGTAGTTGGCTATTATAGTTGTTGGATAATTTACACCAACCTACTGTTTATTCAATACCTCTTTATTGTGATAATCAATCAGCTATTCAATTGTTAGATAATCCATTATTTCATGTGAGGGAAAATCATATAGAAATTCATCGTCATTATATAAGAGAAAATGTGCTGTAAGGAGAAATTAAGATGCTGTCAATCAAGACCGAAGACCAAGTTGCAGACATCTTTACCAAGAGCTTGAGTCCATCCAAGTTCGAAGAATTTTGACAACTTAAAATGACAACAAAGCCAAATGGAGTCAATGCTAAATGGGAGAACTAAAGAAATCACCACCGCCTCATTTGCTTTTAGATAATCTTAGAGATTTCTAGAAATATGTAGGAAGAAGAAGAAGAAGAAACGGATAAACATGAGGTGATATTTGGGTTTAATAGATTTAGCTAGAATTGTCTAGAATTGTGGCAACCGACTTAGTGTAGTTATATATAAATAGGAACACGACTATTGTAGTTTGTATTTTCTAGTAATTGAGAAGGTGCAAGAATTGTGGGTGTTGAGTGAATAAGTGTGTGTCCGTGAGAGTGAGTGGAAAATAAAAGAGAGTGAGGTGTGCATGTATAAATAAGTAAATAAATTTTTTTTTTTTTTTAATTCTCCACCTTCTGGTTCAACAATTTCTTGGTACATGATTTTACGATTAGATTACTATATACTTGTCAAGCGAGTTCATATTACATTTTGCTGTTTTTTTTTCTTTCTGCAGAGCTCGAAGAAAACCAAAAGTAAGGGGATTCAGGTGATAAAATCAAGATGCAGTCAGCATGAAGTGCAAGAGTTTCTTTCAAATTTGAAGGGGACGGAAAAAAAGCATAAATTCAAAGTTCAATCTTTTCAGCATTCCTTGATATTCTTAAACGCTTTGTCCATCTCTCTTTGGCTCAAGCTCTGATTGAATGCTATGATGCTGAAAGGGATGCATTTATTTTAGTAGGGCAGCCACTCAAATTCTGTAATGAAGAAGTTGAGAAATGCATTGGGCTTTTAGCTTTGAAGGGAAAAAAGGTGGATTTTGAGAAGAGGTATATTTCTCCTCAACTTGTGCGGAAATATTTTGAACTGGTGACTGGAAATTCAAGAATCACAAATGATGTGGGAGGTGCAAACAGAAAAAAGCAAGATGAAGAAACACTAATTTACTTTACAATACTGGTATGCTTCTGCAAAAACTAAAGCAGATGAGTGTTAATGATAGAAGTGAAGGTGATGGCTTTCTTCATTTACCAATTCTTTACATGATCAACGTCTGTTTCTTCTAAATTAATGGCCACTCAAATACCTAAAAAATCTAGAGGAGCTTGGCTTGTATGTTTAGAGGTACGCGGCATATGAATATTTACTCGAATCCTTGGAGAAATCTGCAGGACAGTTGGCTGCTATCAATGCAATTCGCACGTATTTAAATGGATGCGTTCATCTGTTGGAGGTATATTTCCAGAAATTATTAAAATTTAGGCTTGTTCTTTTTTATTTGGTTTTGAAATTGTCCTTTCCAAAATTCTTTTAGACACTAGCATATATATGAACAAATCCAAAACTTACATGTCCAAGTGCATCAGACAAACTTGCACTTGCTTGTGAGCAAGTATGAGAAGGGTGAATGGAGGTCACTTGATGCAATCGGAAATGTGTTGGCCAGTTTACAAGTTGATGAGGTAATATAGGTATCAAAATCGATGATGATCTTTGGAAAGCAATCTTGACGTAAGGAAATCACCATATTAATTGTTTATTTTCCTGTTAATTAATTTATTGTTTGATAGATCAAGAAGTATAAATATTTTAAAGAATTACCAAGTTAATAGGATACAAGATGAAGAGGCTAAAGAGGAGGAGATTACCAATCTGGAGAGATGACAAGCTGTGTTCTAAATGATCTTTTCTTGGCTTCTGTGGCTTTGTACTCTTGTTTAAGGACTAGTAGCCTTCATAGGATTAAACTGATAGCGAAAATAAAATATTTTAACAACAGAACTTCTATCATTAGTAACCTAATATTCATATACCGTCAATTCCAATCTACGTGACTTTTTTCTTTCTTGTTTCTTCTCTTACCATTTCAAGTTCTTTCAAGTTCTGTATAACTTGTATTATTGGTAGCCTCATTTTTTTAAACTCTGAGAAATTTTATGCTAGATCAATCAACAATAGAAAAGATTCGGTGGAAATTCGATTATTTTTTGGAACATGAATAACTAGTGGACCTAAACAAATCCTTCTCGGGAGCAAACCTTTACAAGCTCTTATCATCTTGGCTATCTTTGAATACAGAAAAAAGGTGCTGCATTTCAGTCTCGCTTAGGCTGTCTTGGTACTCTTTACACATGCAGTACCATGAAAGGAATGAACACGAGGGTTCATGATCATGAGAATAATACGGCTGATGCCAATGATTTGGTTGATGTTATTATCAAGATTTGTTCACATGAGGCTATTCAAAACAAAAATGTTGCAATAGAAAACTTGATTCTTGTTTTCAAGATAGTTTACCTTCTTTCTGTAATCTCTACAAACTTTTTCGCGTACTTTTTTTAATTGGTCAAAAGAGAATGGATTGAAAAATGAAATAACAAAAAAGAAGAGAGCCAATCATAAAAGTGAAAAGGATGTTTTCGGCCCAATAACAAAAAATAAAGCCCATGAACTTTATTTCTTGGAAGGGCAGAAATGTAAATAGGCACGCAAAATACGACCACGTCAGCCACAGAACCTCATTGGTGGACTCCAAACTCACATTTAACTATTCTTAAGTCCACTGAGCGACTGGTTCTAAGAATGCTTCGTTAGGGCAGAAAACTTGTGTTCCTTTTCCTTGAACAAAAAAGAAAGATCTTGTTCTTTTTTGTTCAGTTAGGGCGTGTTTGGATTGGTACTAAAAATTGAAGAGATGGGAGCAGAAGATCAAAACCTCAAACAGGATTTGATGGTGGCAGCAAATGCGCTTATTTTACCTCCATCTTCTGTTGAAGAACTTCTTCCTTTGCTTGAAGTAACTAATTTTTCCCTTTTTTATTTTGCTCTTCTTTTCTTATATTTTTCATTATTTATGTTTGGTGCGTGCAATTTTGTGGACGGGTGGGTTATTGTCGTTCCCACAAAAAAATTGGTTGAAAGCAGGTCTTTTTCTTCCTTTTTTTTTTTTTTTTCTTGAGATAAATGTTAGCCCTTCTTGGGTTACTAGAATACCAATGAACTGCATTCCCTTTGGTAGGTTAAGGTTGAGTTTTTATTTGCATACAATGATGAAATTCAGTTTAGTGCGTGTGAGTGCATGGTTTAATCCGGAGAGGGACCAATTTATCTTGAACTTCTAGTAAAGTCAGGTGGGGCTAAAGAAAATTCAATATCCATCGCATTTGTTTGTACGGCATTATGATTATATTTTTCATGGCTAAATTTATAATTATGGAGCTGTTTTTTTATTCCTTTCTGTTTTTGTGAAATTAAGTTGTGCTTTCTTTGTCTGTTGCTGATTTAATTCCGAAGCAAATGCATTATCTCATTCCTGTTTCTCTCCTTGTTTTGTTAGGAACTTGGGAATTGTTTAAGGAGCGTGACTCAATCACCATCGAAGTCTATGCTAAGGGCTCTATACCCTGCAATTAAGGCACTGACAGCAGAAGAACTTTTCTATCATGTGGATGTGGATGTCAAAGTTTTGGTTGCATTCTGCATCAATGAGATTATGAGAATAACAGCACCAGATATACCTTTAGGTGATGAACAGATGTTGAAGGTATCGAAAATAGCATCATGCTTTTCAGTTTTGCTTAACAAACTCTTTTGGAAGCTTCAATTGATTGCTTGTGCTTGATCTAGTGAGCTCTATTCAACACTTGATTGCTTTGCAGGAATTTTTTCGGCTGATTGTAGCAGCATTTGAAAATCTATCCGACACCTCAAGCTGGTCATATGATAAAAGAGTTTTAATTCTTGAAACTTTTGCAAAGATTAGAACGTTTATGCTGATGATGGATCTTGATTGCATTTCCTTAATTTCACAGATGTTTAAGCACTTTCTGGGAAATTTACGGTGAGAGATTGAGTTGGGCTTTTCTTTCAGTTAATTTACTTTTTTACTGTATTTCAACTGAGAGTCTGTTAATTGTATGAAATATTGTGGCTATATATGTATGTATATCTATGTGTATGTATATATGGTTTTGGGTGGCAGAAGTTCATCCGCTGAGGATTAATTTGATGTGTTCTTTTGAAAAAGATTGGCAAACTAGTTTGTAACTTATTCTACTCTGAATGATCTTATGTTATTGAATCCATGGTCCATGATTTTTTAGTAATGCTACTGAAAGTTAAATATGTGCAGCTGCAAAATTTTCTGCAGCAGAGATTTTCAGTTTGGTTAGTCTGTAAACCAATAAGTTCAGAATATTACTATGTTCTTCCTCATCAAAGGTTTAATCTTGCTTTGTATATATTGTGGTAAATGTTTCTTGCAAGTCTTTAGCTGCCAGTAACATTATTCAGGGATCCTCTGATTGATAAGAGTTTCTGAACTTCTTTTGAGGCTGTCTTCCTTCTTCTCTTAACCCTCCCCTCAAATAATGCTTTATAAATAATCAGTAATTTTTTTTTCTTTTATATAGATCAAGTAATCTTGTTGCTATAGCATATAGTTTGATGCTTCTTATCTTGCCACAATATTGAAGAGATAAACGTTAGGGCTTATGACCGACTGTTTCCTGCTAATTGTTATATGCTTGTGTTTAATTAGATGGATACTGATTTTTTGAATTTCATTCCTTCAATTTTTAGAGAAAACCATCCAGATGTTGTCTTTTCATCTATGGGGTTAATCATGATTCTGACCTTGGAGAATATTGACGAGATTCCACCACAACTTCTCTCCCCACTTTTGGATAGTGTAAGAATAGGAAACAAGGTAAGAGCTTGTTCTAGCATCTTTCTTTAATTTCTTGTACCGACTAGTCTCGATGAGTGATGATTAAATGCCCTTCTATTTTTCAAATCCTTTCTCCAGGATGTTTTACCTATCACAAGGAAGCTAGGAGAGAAAGTGATTGATAATTGTGCATCCAAGCTTGAATCCTATATGCATCAAGCAGTTAAATACAAGGGCTTTCCTTTAGACAGTTATGGTAAAATTGTTGCTCGTATATATGAGAAACAATCTGAGGCTTTGAAGCGCAGTCTTCTTATTTATCAATGTAACACTCCTTGGAAACGTCTGGTATTTGTAACTTCTTTGTCTCTAACCTTTTCTTCTGGCTTCAATTTGAAAACTCTTAACATTCTCTTCGTTGTTGTGTAACATTCTCTTTATTTGTGATAGTTGTGTGCTCAATCATGTTTTGGCTAGGAAAGGCCAACTACATTGGTGGAATGTAACCCCAACTTGAAATTTGACATGAACAAAATTTGGGTTTGAGATCAGTACCAAATGTGCCTCAAACATGATTGCACACGATGAATTCTTCAGCATATTAGCTGTCTGTTTAAACCATTGTAATATAGTTTTCTTGTTTGAAAACTTTTTGGAATTTTGAACTAAAATTTTAATTAAAATCCAATTATAAAAGAATTAAGTTTTATTATGCCCATGAACCTGGTGATATAAAATGACATGGTTATGTTGTACATATTTTGTTATACACTTTTTGAGTTAACAATTCTGTGAGCATGTTGCTTCCACTTGATTCCCCTTTTAAGACATTCAGTCGATTGCCACAAACTAATTCTCCAATAAAAAAGCTGAATTCTTTGAATTTCCACCTCCTTCTGATGATAAATGTTCTTGCAGCTCATATATGATTCACCAAATACTTGTAGAACCTCTACTAATGAAAGTATTCAGGATTTCTGAGCATATAGCCATGGAATAAAATGTTCAAGGCAAACTTGTACTGACTTTTGTGTTTTCTATCATTATTCTGTGAAGCTTTTTGTTCTCAAGATGTCAACTATGAATTCCCAATAAAAGAAATAGTTGCATCTTTTTCTCTTTCTATGTGTTAATAATAATTGGCAATATTGCACTTCCTGACACACAGATTTGGATTTTAAGTTTGTTACATTTTTGTGATAAGGTAGTTTATGCTGAACCAGGTGCTCTCTTGTCATAACTAGATTCTTTACAACAACTCATATCTCTTGTTTAGCTGACTTGTTTTTTATTTTTGATGGATGATTTCTTACAATCTTGAACATCTCTTCCTCAGAAAATCTCTAAAAAGTGTGATCTCGCGAGTAGACGGGAGCGAAAGAGAATAGGTGGCATTCGTGAACAAGGTTTTCAAGGTTCTCCTTTAGTCCCAACCAAGAGTTTGTCAAGTGGGCGAAAGAGAAAAGGTGGCATTCGTGAACAAGGTTTTCAAGGTTCTCCTTTAGTCCCAACAGAGAGTTTGTCAAGTGATTATGTAAAGAATGGTGAAGCCTCACAACCTAGGAATGCCCTCTTGGAAAATCAATGCAAGGGAACAAGTGTTCCAAAAGGCAAAAGATCAAGTAACAAGGTTGATTCTGAAAACGATGGTAATGAGATGAACTCGGTCCTCAGAGATGCAGTGTCGAATGGAACTGGTGTAAGTGATGAATCAGGAGGTAAACAACTTGAGCCAATTCGTATAAAGGTGGTTATGGGGATTAACATGAAGGATAGCTCATCAGTAAAACAATGGGTCTGCAAGAAAAGGCGAGGGCATAAGAGTCCTTAACTAAAATTTCTACCCTTATGTCTTCGCTTTTTCTTATACGCCCATTGTTGTACTAATAAGTTGTCCTTTGTGTTAACCCTGTAACCACCTTGACACAAATTGCCTCAAGTTGTTTGTCTTCTGATTCATTAGTTAGACCAGCTCCATTAGACACTGCATCTCTTGAGGACCTTAGCATAACACGGGAGTTATTCTCTCCTTTTTCGCTTTTTTTTGTTTTTTGGTTGGTTTTTGTAAGAAACAGCGACATTCGTATGCGTATAGTTGAAAAGTCAAAATAGTTTAGTGATAAAATTGATTTAAAACATAATTTGATAATATCTTACAAGTTTGATGGTATATTTAATGATTACCTTAAATTCTGAATCATCCTCTCTTTAGTTCGCATTTCTAGTTGGAGCCCAACATTATTAATTGAAGCCGGCCCACTACTATGAAGCCCATCATGCTGGTTAATCTATTCAAATTCGTCTGTACCGGAATCCATTCCATTTGTACACTTAATAAAAAGCTGTTCACCGTATTATTACTGTCTTTGATAGATGACAAAAAAAATTAGTTAGATGATTAAAAAGATATATTTTATTTGTTAATGTTTGGGATTCAAACTTAAAACGCATTAAAAATGGGTCATAAATTAATATAAGTATATCTCTTCTTGTCCCATTTTTTTTTTTTTTTTTTAAAAAAACAAGGCTATCATCATTATATGGGTCGATACCAACTGTTAAAAGTATCTAATTTATCTAAATCTTATTATAAAATATATACATATATATTATTGTTTAAACTTTTTTCATGAATAACTATTTATAATTATCTTATAATTATTTTTTACTAGTACTAAATCTGAACTAGTGGCATAACTCAAAGAGAGTGGAGTTAATTTTGGATTCATTGAAAAGACTGACTCGAGAATATATATATATAACAAAAAATTGTGAACTTAGTATCCATATCATAACAACAATGGTAGCCTCTATTCTTCAATGCTTGCACTCAATTTTCCGATTTAATTGTTTATTGTCCTTACTTTTTTTTGCTGTAATAGGGCCATTGTCAGTTGCAGTTTTACAAATACAGATTGAATGAATAAAGTCATACAAAATTTGTCAGGATTTTATTTGGGTGCTGTGAACTGGTAGGACGCATAAGATAGGGTTCCATGAGTCCAACTGGTGTGCACTAATTTGGCCTTAGCATCATCACCAGCTGCACCCATGGCTACATGCAGCGGGTAGAAGTGATCTGGTGAAGGGTGAGCCATTTTTGGATTTGGTGCCTTTGACTCGTAGAGATTCACATCTTCATATCTGCACACAGAAAGAAAAGGGAAAAACAAGTAATTAAGACCTGAACAATGAGGTTTGAATAAGAAGACAGACCCCAGATGATCATAAGCAGTGAGAATCATAAATAACGCAAAGGATTGGTTATCGATCCCATATTGCTTAACAATGTCAGCATTAGTATGCAAGCAGCATTTTCATCGATGCATCGAAGAAATATTTCCTAGAAACATTTACCTTCGTTCAATAAGAGCATCTTTAAGCCAGTCGTCAAACTGCAATGCCCATGAAGGAGCAGAACTGCCATTAGGTAGCCTGGAATCCAGGTTGTGCACAGAAGATCCTGATCCTAGGATGAGGACACCTTCCTCTCTGAGAGGAGCCAAGGCCTTCCCCATGTTGTAATGGTGAGTGCCATCTCTATCCGACTGGATGGAGAGCTGGCACACCGGTATGTCAGCCTCCGGATACATGAACATCAGTGGAACCCAAGCACCATGGTCAAGCCCTCTTTTTTCGTCTTCATCAACTTGCTCAATGCCAGATGCCATAAGCAATTCCTTCACCCTCTTAGCCAATTTTGGAGCTCCCGGTGCTGCATACTTAATCTAATAAGTGCACAATAGCGTTAAAAAGAATGATAAAGAGATTCAGTTAATACTGAAATAAACAGTCTCCTGAACTATTCTATTGCGAATTCAGATCAATAATCAATTACAATTTTTAAGTCTTGAATTGTCTTCAATTCCAAGACAGAACTATAACATCTAAGGATTGATGGTTGATTAGACCTTGTTTGCTTCTATAGGATCATCGTTTACTCGTCACACAACTGTAACTCTTGACGTAACAATCATTTCAATTCAGCAAATTAATAATAACTTTAAGGGGTGCTTCAAATTCTATAAAATTCTTATAGATCAGGAGCGTGCTTAGCATTTTAATCACAATCTTAACAGTGAAATTTAAGTTGATCATATACAAAAAATTAATCAAAAATTCATTCATCTTCCTAGCTAAATTTGGGACAAAATCACTAGCTGAAATCAGACCGCCCAGATAACAAAATACTACAGAGAATTTAAAAGCTAAAAACTTTGAAAGAAAGAAATGAAGAGTTGATCAGAAGTACCTGGTACAAAGGCTTAGGGAAGTCAGTGAAGTCATGAATGGTATCATTTCGATCAACAACATTAACAGTAGGTTCTTTGGTCTCCCAATGAGCAGAAATAACAAGAATGGAACTTGGTTTCTGTTTATATACACTTTGTTGCCATGATTCAAAGAACTGCCTTGCTGGTACGGTTTCATAAATAGCAAGTGTTGGATCTCCATGAGAGATAAAAAATGTTTCCATCAAAGCCATTTTTCTATCTTTTTAAAGAAAAATATCAAGAAAACAAAATAGAAAAATATCAAGGAAGTCCACAATGATATGAGCATTACCAAATTGTTTTAGCCAATAATTGAACTTCAAATATTAATCATATAATTAAGAAAGATTCTTGATTTGGTGGAGCGATTAATCAATTATCATATTTGTGTTGCAGTTGTTGATTCCTCCCAAGCAACTTAATCCTTTTGAATATATATATAAAGCAATATATTAATGTGGTAAAGTCCTCATATAAAAGAAAAGAAAAGGAAAACGAAAACGAAAAGTGTAGAATAAGACGAAACAAAAGTTGAAAACACAGCAAGCTTGCTATATAATATACTGTTATTTAACGAATGGAAAAGTTGTTGAGTCCTTCCACGCAACTTCATACTTTTGAATATATCAAATAAACAAGAAGTTAATTAATTAATTATAATGGTAGCAACCTAAACTACTGCATGCAACAATCTTTTCCTTTCTCTCATTATACAGTTTTCTTTTCGCTTCCCTCACCAGATTCTCCTCTCTCATCTGTACTGCTTTCTATTCTTTAATTTTCTGAATAATATTGTTTAAGCCAACCAGTGCTTGAAGTACAACATCTTGAATCAGGTAAATTAATTATTATGTTTTTTCACATGTAGCCATCTGCTATCGTTTGATCCTTTCAAGTAAATTAAAGACAAAGTTGCAGAAATTTTGGAGTTAGGATTCAACACATCCTACCAACCTACCTACAATATTGACTCACAATTTGGTAATTAATTACCATATATATATATATATATATATATATATATATATATATATATATATATATATATATGATTTAATTTCAAGTGAATAGTTTAGTATATCATAATTAAGAAAGTGGTAGGACTTGTATAGGCGACAGAAAGTGATTTGTTCGAGATCATAAGCACTTGTTTTACTTCAAAAGATATACTCCTAACAGACATTATCAATTCCTCGATATTTTGTTCTAATAGCAACAGAAAACTTACAAATTAATGACAAACATTCAACGACAGAATACTACCGTTGCTGAATTAAGCGATAAATTTTAACGGTTAATTCAGCAATGAAATACTAACTAAATTGCGATGGATATTAGCGATAAAAACTTTCGTTATTGAATTAAGGGATACATTTTTTATGGTTAATTTAGCAACGGAATACCAACTAAGTTGCAATAGATATTAGCGACGGATGGTTTCATCCATTGCTAATTTTAGATTGGACATAGGGAGATGATTTAACAAAAAAAGCAAAAAATTGAGCGATAGAATTGTGTTCGTTGTTGAGTGTAGAAAAAATTAGCACAATTTCAAAAATCAAATAGCAATAGAAATTTATTTTTAGTGACGAAATTGTGTCCATTGCTGATTGTAGGAAAAATTAGCTCAATTTAAAAAATCAAAGAGTGACGGACACTTGTTCTTCACTTATTCTTAGCAATGGAATCAAGTCCGTCACTAAAAAAAAAATCCCTAAACCTAACGGAACCCTTTTTCTTCCTTTATTCTCCTCGCCTCCATCCCTAAGCCGTCGCCGTCGCCACTCTTTCTCTCCTTCCCCGTCGACGAAACCCGTCGATCACCCCACTCCATCCTCTCTCGAGCTATTGATAACTTCATTTTGTCATTAGTTATAGAGACCCGATAAGGGTCTACTCGCTCTCGCTCTTTTTTAGCATGATTTTCTTTCTCTTATAATTATTCTTTATAAGTTTGGTTGTAGAACCTTCTCCATTGCATACCATTATAATTGTGGAGAAATGCACTCGAAACTAGTCGATGAGTACAAGCATATGCTTACTCATGCCAAAAAGCCCTTATCCACCTTCTGGAGTATTGCACATATGTTACCGAGTACTTATTGATAGTCATTTTTTAAATTTTCAGTTTGATATGGTAAACTTGAAAATTTAGGAAAACATGTTGCATCCGGGCTTTAGTTTTCTATGCATTTTGAAATCCTTTATCAACATACATCTTATTAGTTAGAGGAGGATTGGTTTCATATTTATTAATTTCTGGTTTTAAAAATTGCGTAAAAGGTTAAACATTTTCCTTATGCTCGTTTTGACCATATATGGTCATATGATAGACAATGTTGTCTTAATTGTAACTCGGAATCTTGCATGAGAGAGATTTTCGGGAAGTATAGGGATATGCCATCTTTTGAGCATGTTTGGCGGTGTTTTTTAACCCTACATTGTACTATTTTTCAATTTTGATAGTTCAAGGAATCTTTCTTGATTTCTGTTTGTATTGCATCGCATTAGATGTATGATCCAACATCACTTGCTCATCTCACTTCTAATTTTCTTATCATTTGCGTACTTGTGATATTCACATCCATGTCGAATCTTCCCTATGTTGTGTACATAAAAAATTGGCTTTGTGACAACTTGAAACCATTGAAAACTAGCTCATTCCTCTTCGTCGATCACATTAATGCAATCCTATCGTTTTGGTGTTGGGTGTGATGCAACTAAAATTAAAATCATTAATCAATAAATATTGACGGACAAGAAGATTTAGGCCCTTTAATGTTCCATGTGTTTATACGTGCTCGCATGCTTGTATGTATGCATTAAGACCAATATGAATTGAGATCATAACAAATTTACTCCAACTTGGTAATTAACATGTATTTATGTATGCACATGTACACATGCACCCACTAATTGATTCTTGACAAGCAAAGGTGGTCGTAGGATCTTTGTTGTGAAGTGATTTGAGTATTTGATCATTTCTATTGACATCTTTATATTTTATTTCTTCTAATCTTCCGTATATGTTAATTTTTTTTGGCATTTCTAGGACTTCGATGACATGAAGAATTAAATTGTGAGTAATATTCTTTACAAGGCATATCTTAAGGATTTTTTACGGGTTTTGTTAGATGAGAACAACTACAAGAAGGATAATGAAATCTCTTTCTAACTATATTTAGTTCTTCCTTGTGTGCTCTTTTCTTATAAAAATTAATGTGATATTGGGCAAAAGACTTAGAGATGCCACAACTAAGATCATGTCCGACCTCTTTTCCTTTGAGGATGACATAAGGATTGTCAATATCATCATAAATGGGTTTGTTAGTGCTTCCATTTTTATTATGCCAAGGAGAGATGTAGATCTCTTAAAGGTTGTGTGGGAGGATAGTTAATATTTTTAAATTTTCCCTAGTATTCATTCTATGTCATTGATTTGAGGCACTTTGTTTAGCATTGACACCGAGCTAATCCGGGAGGGTCGTAGGAAATTGTACTCTAATTTTGGTTGATCTGTAAGCTATTTGTTAATACTTGATTGTTATCTTGCTTTATATAATTTTTGCTAGTCCGTAATATGCTTCTTTGATGATCTTGTACTTTCATTGAATAGCTATCCTTATGGACATGAGGAACTTGCCGATGATGATTAACTTTGGTACGCGGATCCAAGTGATCTAGGAGGAACACAAGGAGGAATATAGTGCTTTTTGACGGGATCGGTAGCGATGTGAGCAAGCAGATGCCGATGATACAAGCAATCGTTACAAGAGATGCAAACCCATATTTGCTCGCCCTTCCCACCTCATAACCCTTCCCCTATGTACCCAACAGCTCGTTGGATGATGATGACGACCTCCCCTATGTATCCCTTGATCGGACTAGCTTTTTTTAGACTTAGTTTTTATTATTTTCGTATGCTATAGCACATTTGTATATATTTCATTTGATTTTATATTATTTTTATTTTACATAATAATATTTCATGTTATAATTTTATTTTTAGTTATTTTCTATTAATTAAACATTAAACTACTAATAATGAATATATATGTTTCTTACGTTAGCAATAGACCAATGACCAACTAGCAATGAAAAAAGAATTAAACTACATCAACTACTAATGGACAACTATAGAAACCATCGGTAGATTATCAATCAAATAGAGACGAGTCAATGACAAAAATTTCCATCGGTGATTTTCCATCACGTTAGCGATGGAAAAAAGTTCTTATAGTGACAACATCTTCATTACTAACTTCATCACATTAGTGATTGACATCTTTCATTATAGCGACATCTTATCCGTCGCTAAAATTATCGACGGTTATCATTTTACCGATGGATTGGTATCGTCATCATTTCATCAATAAAAAAAATAACGACAAAATATATAAGTTAGTGATAGAAAAATCTATCACTAAAGTTTTAATTTTTTATAGTGATAAATAAATAATTTTTTTGCAGTGATATATAAATAAATTTCACTCTATGTTTCGTGCCAAAAGCCCCATCACAAAAGTTTCGGATCGATCCTCTAAAAGAGAGGTAGATTACCCACCGGTTAGCATTTTACAACTATTTATTTTTAATCCAAACATTTGTTCACACACACACACACACACACACACACACACACACACACACATATATATATATATATATATATATATATATATATATATATATATATCCCTTCTTTTCCACAGATCCACTAATCAAGGAAAAGAAAATAAATTGGATCCCTCAATATTAATCCAACTTGTTTTTAATATAAGAGTATCTTTTCTTGTCGAGTTTTTTTTTTAAAAAAAACTATCATCATTATATGGGTTTATTTCAAACTTGTTTTTAATTACATTATCTTTTAACACGTTGTTTAACTCCTTCATTGTCTTGGTTGCAACTTGCAGAGAAGATAGTTTATAGTAAGTTAAATTTGTGGAGCCCAAATCAAAGTTTGTAGATGATTTATTACTACTAGTCCAATTGAATCTCAACTTTCTTTCCGAATCTACATATATGCATTGGCAATCCATTAATCAAGATATAAACATGATTATCTTGTTTGGTTATATAGAGGGGTTGTTCTAATTTATAGGTAAAGCTATTTTACTATGCTTTTGTAACATCCTATTCCTAGCAACATAATGCTAGCTAGCTACTTAATTTTGATATATTGAAATTGACATTGACCATAATCTACATC